AGAGAGAGAGAGAGAGAGAGAAAGAGAAATAGCACAAGTAGGTAGTATACTCAAGTACTTTCTTGTCAGTAAATAAATCGGGGTATGATATAATACGACGGATTATTAGATTGGATTGAGATGCTAGGATGTCTTAATCAATATTGGTCGATTTGTTGGCTGTCAACTGGCACAGCTTAAGACAAAGATTGATTGATGATATGGAGGTAGAGAGAGCGAGAGAGCACAGAAGGATAATTAAGCAGGTACTGACTGACTGGGTTGTATTTTACATCCGCACTTACAACTAAGGCGATATGATAATCATACAGCTAGGTACCTATATACAACTACTCCGTACATGGCAAAGAGGCGACATGCGGCATCCACGGCTCTGCATCGGCATCGGGCATCGGGCGTCTCATCTCACCTCATCTCATCTCATCTCATCCCATCCCGTCTTGATCATCCCGTTTGGCATCGTCCTGTTCCTCGGGCTTTTGGGCCTTTGGACGCAAGCCCTTTTTGCCTCCCACGACAACCCGCAACGGCACTCATCAAAAAATGGGCACTTCCAACAATGCAGCTGCGGCTGCAGCTCGCAGTCAGGCTCGAGGTCAGGTAGTTGTAGATACGGAGGGCTGAAACATCGCGGGCGCTCCTCGTGTCTGACACGTTCCGTGCGAGGGCTCGAGGCTTGATCTCAATAATCCAAGTACCTCGAGATCTGGCTGAGCTACTGCGATCACTGCAAGTGCAGATACGACAGGTCGCATGGAACACCTTTGCCTCGAAAAGCTTCATCAGCTATCTCCGGAAGGCGGCGATGCATGCGCCACTGATCCCTCGACTTGACATGAGCGGTCTCAGGCTCTTCGCGGGGTCGTCCAGTCAGTAGAAGTAAGGTGGTACAGTAAGTGGAAGATGGAATCCTCAAGTGGGTGCGCAGTTCAGTTCATTCAGGCTGATTGCCGATCGCGCTGCAGCTCTCCCATTGCATGTACTCACTGTATCGTACTGTGTATGGTGCTGTACGGCGGCGATATCTTGCCTCTGTCGAAAGAAGGTCGCGAGTCGAACTTCTCTTAAATACTCAGTAGTTGTAAGTACGAACATCGAACATCGAACATCCACCACCATCGATTCGCTGAGGGTCAGAGCTCAACCTTAATCCGATGTTGCAACTCTGGAAATGCATGGGCTTTCGCTTTCGCAAGCTTTTTCTCCTTTCGGCGTGACTGCAATCTCTCAGATCCATGGAAGGATCACGGTCGTCTCTCGTTTATTTACCTACCTACCTACAAGTACCTACTACCTACTACCTACGACTACGTACTACTTATCTCGTCCTCCCTCTATCATGACGTCTTCCATAGTAGGCTATACTGTATCTCATTTGCCGTCCTTTTAAGCTCTTGTTCCGCACTTCTTGCTCTCTGCATTATTGGCAGTATAGCAGGGATTCTTCTTCGTCGAAGAGTTGGACAAAGTCTTGTCTTCAACTTTGTTACCACGGAACTCTCTCCGCGCAGATTTTCCTATTGCATCAAGTACTACTACTTACTGTTCTGATATTGCCCGTGCTCGGACATGATGTTTGTCAAAGATTAGCACCGAAATATTTTCATTTTTCGGCTGTAGCTACTTACTGAGCTGGCTTCCCAGTTTCCAAACAAGCCGAGTCCAAGATTCTGAGCCATAGTTCAGCGTTCCTTGGTTACCTCGGCTTCAAGTCTCGAGCCACTCGCAACTGGCCTAACACGAAGAGACACTGTTCCGTAGTGCCTTTTCGCTCTAGCTGGATACAGCAACAAGCGCCTATGACTTGTCCTTGTGAGAGATAACAGTCAATGTCCTGTCGAAAGCCTCACCCACACTTCTAACAAACCGATTTCTGGATTGGGCACCTGCCATGGTGTATTTCTGCGAAGCGCTCTTCGACACCAGGCAAGAAAAGATGCAACCCTTTGTGTTGCCACTCAACCAGAGCTGGAGATACCACCTGGCCAGGGACAGGCTGTTGCGGTCTTGGGCACATATAAGACTATCCAGGAACTCGTCTTCGCTACCCTCTCAAAGCCCACTGCCGATATCCCTCCGTCGCTACCTATCTCGCCGGGGCCAGGCTCTAGCGACTGAGCTGCAGCAGGCGTTCAAAGGATTCCCAGCTTGCACGGCCAACGCCTCTTTGATTTGACTTCAGGAGTCAGGCAATGTGCATCCACATGTGTTTGTTGCATAGTGCTATTGGAGCCACTACATCTCCTTAGTCCATTCGAGACTCCAAGTCTGCCATGCACCGCAGCCTCTCGAAGTCCGAGAACACTATCAGCCAGGTCGACGGCTTATGCTTTTTGGGCTCTCTTGTCGCACTACACACGTCTCAAGGTCCTTGATTTCTGTGGGCAATCTACGATGGTTGGTACGATTGTGGAGAGGATCGTGAGGATTGGGACCCGGATGGTAGTCCGTTGTCAATTTTTCAAATTCTTGGAGCCTTCTATCCACATGGATCTTTATCGACGTAGCACGGAACTACGAAGCCATGTTAAGAGATGTAGCATTCATGATCATCTTTTCCTGATGATCGACAGTCTTTGGGTCAACACAACAACCAACACTATCAGTGCCTACCCACCTAGGCACTTAAAGTCACACCAGATTCAAATCACGAGATGTAGGAAAAATAGGTTTGTTGCAGGTCGCAGTCCATGTCCCAGATTCTGTGGGACATCGAGGACACCTAGGACACCTGGGACACAGCGATGCCGTTCGGCCGCATCCGAAATACCAATGTCTTACTCGCACTTGTTCAGTGATCTAGAAATCTACGCTGGCTTTCATTTTCGAGACTGGCGTTTTACTTGATATTGAATACTTGATTCCGAGTATTGGAACGATCCACCTTCTGTCATTCTCTTGGCCTCTGACTCATTGCCTGCTGCCGTTATATTTCAAACCTTTATGTTCGCCAATCTGAGAAAGATAGGGAATTAATAGATTGTCCGTAGATAATTTGACTTGTATCGAGGGAAAAGGGGTGAGCTTAAGGTTTGTCGAAGAGTTGAGACGAGGCTCAAGTATATACATAGCGAAAGTGAGGTGTGAAAATAGCAAAGTTAAACCCCGAACAGGACTACGCCTCTCTCAGAACATCTAGGATTGTCGGTCGCAGTCCTAAGCAACTTCGCATTTCGACAACTCGGCATCTCAAGACAGCTAGCTATAAGCAGGAAACTCTTAAATCTCATCTCCTCGATTTGCGACCTTCGATTTGGAAATCGGCGGGCACCATAATGAATCGACCAGGTATGCATTGAATGCTCTATCTTTCCTACAAACAGTCCCGATGCATACCGACCACCACCGGCCACGGACGAGTCTGTATTTTGAAGATGGCATGCGCATTATCTGCCCGAATGACTATGTCTACACTGGTCGCGGAGTGTCAATCTGCCTGTCGTCTGAAGTGCGACCAAAGAGAAGCGCTGCATCAACGGCAAAGCGCATGGCGTGGTGCCAAAGATCCGTGATATCAAGTATCTCTGTCCTCGCAGAGCCCGTTCTAAAGTTCTCTTGAGATATTGGACTGCTTTAGTATCTGCAGACTCTTTTTTTGCTGTTTCGAGGCCACACCGGACTCTCCTTGCTTCTTCTCCCGATTTTCAGCGCCTCTTTCCAACACTGCAATGACAGTGACCTCTGGGGAACTTCACGCTGACAACTCTGAAAACAAGCTGTCGGACCCCAAGCCCTACGTGGCCTGCCACCAAACGGCTTCACATCTCAACAACACATTCCCCAGAACAGGAATATATCGAGCAGGGTGCCGCCTGGAGGAAAGATGGGTACGGATGCCCTAGAAGGAGCACCACGGGAATGAAGACATGCTGATTATCTTCTGGTCGTAGCTAGCAATGGGGCAACCTGGGGATTTGGCGCGGTACCTATGGGAAGCGCAGGACTTGGGAATCCACGCTCTAATAACCCCATGGCGAGTTTTGCGCAGACGATTGGAGGCTCTTCACAACCTTCGACGCCCCTGGATCTGTCGTAAGTAAACTATATACAGCGTAAACCTCTGAGGAGAGCCGATGCCTGAAGCATCAAAATCCTAGGCCCCGTCTGTTGGCTCTCCCGCTTTCAATTCCATCGAATATATGGACACTGACTATTCCCTCTCAGCGAATTCCCGTCTTTATCAAACAACCAGGCCCAACCTAGCCAAGCCGCATGGGCTGCGTCTGGAAACCGGAATCTTGGGCCCTCGGCGAATATGCGACTTCAGCAACAGCCGGGCATATCATCTCAACAGCAACTGAACAACCAACAGCAGACACAGCAGCAGCACGACGACCTGTTCAGCCCATCTTCGCAACTGCCGAGCGGTCAGGGAGGGTTTCGATTTGGGAACCAAAACGCGGTTGGTCAGGCCTCGCAGTCCAATCCGGTGGACGAATTCCCGCCTCTGAATCGGAATGCGAACGGGGAAATAGGCCAGGATCGGATATCGAATGCCGGCTTTGGTGCTCAGCAGAACGGATTGGGTTTTGGGTCCGCGAATCCTCCTCAGCAAAGCCGGAACAACGGCCTGCTGAGCGCGTTATCGGGGAGCAGTCGAGTAACTTCGGGAAATCGGGTTGCTTCACCAGGAAGCATATCTGGTGAGTAACTACTGGGCCATGTTGCGACGCGCGCTAATCTGGCTGCCTGTCAGGCCTTTCGAATTCGAGAGCTGCGATTGAATCGAGTCGGCAAGGACAGGGTGTGGCTGAGAACAACGCGAACGTGAGTAAAATATACGCGTCTAATTTTGCGCGGCGAGGCTGACCATCTCCCCAAGAAATTTGCAAGCGCGCAGTTCAACTCGTCTATACAACAACCTCAAGCCCAACCTCAACGAGAAGAAAACAAAATACCGTCGCCCAACATGTCCCGGACGGACGTGCCACCGCAGCAAGAAGCGGCGCGCTCGCAAAACATAAACTCCTCTGTCAGCTCTTCACACAGCAATGCGGATGAATCTGGTCTCGAGGTTCAGGATCCGCTGCCTGGCATGACCGAGATGGATAGGTGGGGTCTCAAAGGCTTCTCATTCATGATGAACAACTTCCCCGACTATGCCGCGCTGGTAACAGGGACTGAAATGGCAACCTTTGGGCTCGACTTGAACTCTTCCGAGTATGCAGCCCCGGCAGAGACACAGCCCCAAGTTTGCGAGTCCACCTGTTGACGTATCATAGAAACATCTCGTCTCAAGGCTTCTCTCTCTGGGACAATGAACAACCTAGACCCATGGTTCCTCGCTTTACGTTGCCCGAGTGCTACACAGTCGAAAATATCGCACAGCTTGATACCAAGATGGACAACCTGAACGACGAGGCGTTAATCTTCATGTTCTACAGCAACCCAGGAGACCTCCACCAACTTATGGCTGCTCATCAACTGTAAGAAATCACTCATTTTAAGGCTCTATGTTTTCACACTAACCGTTCTCACAGTCATCACCGTAACTGGCGCTACCACAAGAAGCTGCAATTGTGGCTGACCAAAGACGACGTAATGGTTCCTCAGCCATTAGGAAATGGTACCGAACGTGGCTATTACATCTTCTTTGACATCAAGCAATGGCACCGAGAGCGAGTGAGTATCTCTCTCCGCCTGTTGTTATTCTGTGCTAATATCTTATCAGCGCGAGTTCACTCTTATCTATGATGATTTGGAGAACCCCCAAGCCATCGCGAATTTCTCTCGAACTGTTGTTTAAGTATTGTGTAGGATCCACTCTCTGATCAGACAAGCACTCGGTGGAGATGTTCAATGCTTGCCCTGGCACTATAACGCGCTTCTAGAAGGACTTGCTGGAGACATATCAACCTGAAAGGTTTCTGAAAACCATGGAGTTAATAATGCGGTCTGACAGATGGCGTTTATTCTTGCTAGCTTGCACGGCCTGCCTGGGTTGCTTTATATCAGCAGCAGGCGTCTTTAAAGCCCGGCGTGGTTTGCATGGCTGGCTAACGGGATCATGAGAGCTACATAAACCATGATAATTTAAATGAATATCTTGGTGCTGTGCGATACTTGACAAGAATGGGTGCCCGTAATGCGACTATGTAACTACTGCCCAAATCAAAATCAAAGAAATGTCACGTGATGCTGACCGTGATATCTGGACCACATTCGACTGGCAACCCTTTGTGACGCAAGCCTTGCTCTGCAGACCGATCTGCTTTCCTGTCACCGAAGCGATCAAGGACATTCATTGTACTGTGCTGAGAACCCTGTCATGTCATCGGTCTACTTGCAGCATCTTCCACCGTCATAAATCCAGAGAAGCCGGCTGCTAACTTGGCATCCATCATTCATTATCCTCTCCAGGAGAACCTCTGCCCTCAACGCGCCAGCAACCATCGATCGCCCGATCCCAACACCGCCATGGCCGACCAGACAATCAACATCCCGCAGCTGGTCGTCATTGTCCTGCTCGGTGGCCTCGCGATCCGCTACCTCTTCTTCTCGGCCGGCCCCAACTCGTCGCAAAGTCGCAGCTCGAACTCCGCGAGCAATATCCGCGCCCGGGAAGCAGATGTCGAGAGAATACAGCAGATGTTCCCGCAGGTGTCGAGAAGAAGCATCATGTGGGACTTGCAGAGAAACGGGGGGAACGTCGTGGCTACTACGGAGAGGGTCTTGAGCGGCCGGGGTTTAGAAGTGGTGAGTTTGTGATGATGCGAAGCCCTCTGGGACTCTCTTTCTTTCTCTAAGCTCAGCCCGGGACGGGGGACGAGGGAGTCGGTCGTGGTTTTTTAAGGGGGGTTTTTTAGGGGGGGGGTTCATAAGATCGGTGCTAACTTATGGATCATAGCCTCCGCAATCATTCCAGCCCCCGCTGCCTGTTACAGCTTCCTCGGCGACGACAGCTACACCAGCACAATCGAAGCCGCTCCAGCCGGACCTTATCACGCGCTACAACCTCAAAGCGAAACTCGCAGAGGAAGCAAGCAAGGCGGAAACTTCATCTCCAGCGGAGGAAGCAGCTACTTCGACGGGCACGCAAAAGCAGGGCCAGGCCTGGAGTGCGAACAAAGGGGAGAGGCAGGCTCTACTGCAGAGGAGGAGAGATGAGATGATTATGGCCGCCAGACGAAAGATGGAGGCTAGTATGGCGGCTGAAGCTGCGAAGGCAAGTCAAGCGGAATAATCGTATGGCATATATCATTGGGAGGGGGGGGGGAGACGGGTTGTCACGGAGTTTGGAGCGAATAGTCCATGACTCCTTGTATAGCTTATTATGTACAATGGAACAGCAATGTTTTTCCCACCGCGACCCCAGGACTTAGTGGATATCTCATAGACCGCAGTAGCCGTTGAGCTGTGGGGTAATCGTGCGACAGGCCGCGAATCTCCGCTCCTGGTTGACGTCTTCTTCCATCTTACGAGCCCTGACAGGAACCATGTAAGCTTCGAAGCTTCGATGCCAACTCCGTACGTACGCGCTTCTTAAAGCGTCGAGGTTTCGGACCTTGAACTTCTCTGAAAGGTGTGGTCTTCTGTTTCTTTTTCTTTTTCTGTTTCTTTTCCTTTTTCTTTTCCTTTTCCTTTTCCTTTTCCTTTTCCTTTTTCTCTTTCTCTTTCTCAGGTCACGGAGTCTTCTACGAAGGATTTCGCTTTCCCAACCGAAGAAAGAGTCCACGGGGTGGGTGCTTGCTTGCTTGCCTGCTCTCTCCAAGTGCCCAACGGGCCTCCCTCTCACTCGCGTCAACAAAGAGACAAAAGTTTTACCTGAACGACATCTCGACTTTTATGAGCACCTCATATTAGTTCTGGCGGGGGGGGGGGGGGGGGAAAGTAAGAAGGAATGCCGCAAAAGAAGAAGGGGAAGGGCGCCCCAAGCACGACATGGTAGGACCAACACCGCTTCCCTCACCAACGATTCTCCAACGCCTAGACTTCTGGAAGAACACGGCATGGACTCTCGCAGGTCTCCGAAAGACAGATCATGTACGACGGGGTACGGCCCGTGGGCTTCTCTTTTCGGGTTTTCGATCGCCGCGCCGTCCTTTCCTGCCAGGCTGGGTACAACGGATCCAAGCACCACCGTTTCTCATCGGTTCTTCGTTCAGGGAGTGAGTGGGTGAGTGAGTGAGTGATTGAGTAGCTGAAGGAGAGAGCGGCGGCTAGACTTGAAGGCCTTGGATGTGCGTACCTCCGCATGGAGAGATTTCATGGTTTGATGTGCTGCTGCTACCTGCTACCTTTAGTAATACTCAGCTAGGAACCTCCAGCGTCCCGTGAGACTTGAGACGGCTGACTTGGCGGAGAGATTTCTCTTGGAAGTCTGTATTCTGTATTGTGCGTAGGCTTGTGGAAAGGTAGGTATGTTATGTATGTACTTATATTCCTTTAAGGTAGTTCGTCTTGATCTATCGGTGTAGCTAGCCTATTCACAACTTTTTACTCTTCATTAGTAACCTCTCTCTACTTACTTAGTTTCTCTCCGAAAAAGATTTAAAAAAAAGAAAGAAAGGCCTCCCTATACTGTCGATAGGTGAGTGATTCCCTTTGTTTGGTACTTTGGTTCTTTTTGGCATGGTTCTAAGAAAGGGTACTTGTCTACTTACTTACTTACTTGCCTTGGAGAAGGCGGCATGAGGGAAGACTTGCGAGATCCTGTCATGGGGGCCAGCTATTCCATGGGAAAGAGCTTCTTTCTTGTCACACAGTACTATGAATATGGATACGAGGTACCGATCGGTCGTAGGTAGTCTAAACTCCTATATACATGCGTACCATCATGGTTTCAGGTTGCAGATAGGATAGCCTTATAAAGTATGTAGCCAGGCGAGCAGGCGTCGTGTGTGTTCAAAGATAAATTACCTAGGTTAGGCTAGGCTGGTTCCTTCTGAAGCATGTCTCAAAGAGAGAGAGAGAGAGAGAGAGAGAGAGAGAGAGAGACGAGGTAGCAGACCCGAAGCACCAGAAGCATATAACGAAAGACCTCCTGCCCCCTCCCTATCTACTCCAGCGTTTGCTTGCGACTTCGGGCGATCGCCCCCCTATGTTTTGCCCTCCTCTAGTCAGCCCGTCAGCCGGCTAGCTCTCTTTCTTGGGACAAGACAAGACAAAACAAGACAAGACAAGACAAGATAACACAGCCAGCTTTTCTTTTCAGACGAGGCATCCACTGCATCTTTGACTGATTTGCCGCGCCCGGAATATCCCATCGGCACTGCAAATTCAGCAGCTACCGTGTGCAAGCAAGCCGGCATGATGGAAGGACATCGATCATTTCCTGCGAGAAGAGAAAAGATCGGCCTCCGTCTGGTCTGATTCGTAAAGCCCCCTTTTCCCTCCCTTCATAATGTGATGAGATATCCCAGACTCGACCCGTTGATTGCCAGGTGCTGCACCTGTACATACCGGTATACATGGAATCATATATGGGAAAAAAAAAAGCTTGCTAGCGAAGAGTTTCACTGGCGTGATGGACGGCAAAAACCTTATATCTACCTAATAAGTATGTTGCACGTCTAATCGTTTGTCCGAAAGGCATACATAATATGCGAGAGACGAAAGTGTATCGTACTTCATACATATGATAGCCCTTTCACTACAGAAATGATTGGATAGTACTCCGAGTCTCATAGACTCAGCATACGCTTATACCCATTTCAACGCTACCTTACTCTCTTTCATACTTTTATGATTATATAAAAACAGCCCGAGACACGGCCCGAGACACGGCGATACTGCCTTAGCGGATAAGCGAGGCGTTGGAAAAGGGGACGAGATATGCAATAAATACCTAATCGAGCACGGAAAACAATCGTAACTGTATAGGTCGAGAAGAGATCCTGCACTCGCTCAACTTCGAACTGCCAGCGTAGAGGCCGTACCATGTCTTGTGCTCCATGAGTGATAATAGCTACTCGGCAGCCCGCAATGGAAGGAGCAACTGATACCGGTTTTTTTTTCAACTTAACCCCTTGAAAACGCTGCGCGATCAGGACTTTAGATCATTGACGGCGTCCCGATAAAAGGAATCAGCACTTGCTCCATTCATCCTCAGTTTGATGAACGTGAATGGTAAAGCTCGTAGTAATGATCCCACGCCACACACACTTGTGTAGAAAGCTACATCTCACAGCGGATTGTACATGGTTTAAATCTAATTTCAGGATTTGATGGAACCTCTATCCTTGCTGCATCGCCGTCTATGAACGCGCACTGTACCAACAATCAAGCAATTCTCGCTAGAGATGTAGGAGGCACCCCGAAATCTCACCAGAACACGAACCCGCAGGCTCTCCCGGCCGAGATTCTACAAATGCAGATACCACATCCGTCGTCATATCATAAGCGTCATTGATGCAAGTCCTCTACTTCTCCTCGGGCTCGACAACCTCATCCGGCTTCGTGGTCTCGGCATCGGTCATCTCCTCGTCCTTGCTGGCAGCCTCTTGAGCCATCGCAGCCTTCTTTGCTGCCTCGGCCATCTCGCGCTTCTTGGCTGCTTCGGCATCAGCAATAGCCTGAGCAGCTGCACGCTCCTCCTCAACCTTGTCGAAGTAGCGTTGAGCAATGGGACCAGCAATCGCGCGGATCTCATCGTACTTGGATTGATAGACGGCCTTGGTAGCATCCTCACCCTCGTCGTAGAGCCAATCCTGTGGGGATATTAGCAAATTTATATTGAGACAAAGTATTCTAGGCTTACCTCGCTAGCCTCAAGCTTAGCCTTCAGCTTAACTTTCTCGTCCTCACTGGCGAACTCGGAGTAGGTGTCGTCGATCTTGTTTCTCATATCGTAGATGTAAGTCTCGAGCTCGTTCTTCTTGTCCTCGGTATCGGCGACAAGCTTGTCCTCCATGATCATGCTAGATTCTTGCTCGGCGGCGGAAACCTTAACAGTCTCATCGAGAGAAGAAGTACCCGAGATGATGGGGAGATCACCCTTCCGGACTTGCTTCTTGACTTTTCGGGTCTTTGGCTTCTCCTCAGTGTCCATCGCATCTGGGTCCTTTTTCTCGTCACTCTTCTCCTCGGGGATTGGCTCCTCAACCTCCACATCCTCCACGAAGTAGCCAGACTCAACATTCAAGATACCGTGCAAGTTCAAGCGCGCCTTGAGTTTGCAGATCATGAAATCATCCTTCGAGTCGGCCTTGACGCCCTTGACAGTGAATCTTCCAATCCAGGGATTGACCTTTCCAGGGAGAGCCTCGGGGTTGGCGTATTTGGCCTCAAGGTTGAAGGTCTCCTTGCGGTAGAAGGTAAGAATCTTGGTTGATGGCATGACATTGCCCTTGTTGAAGACGGTCAGGCTGGTATCCTCGTCCGGAATGTCAGGAGATTTTTCCCAGGTGAATTCGATAGGGTAGTTGACGATATCGTGGATGGCGAAATCGCGGACACGGAAGACAGGAGAAAGAATAGCACAACTGAACGCACATCCTCGCGCAATAGCCTCGTCTTGGTTGAGGGTGAATGAGAGTGTCTTGCCAAAGAACTGTTGGATACGCTCCTTAAGGGCAGGTACACGTGTGCATCCACCGACCAACTCAACGATATCGATATCCTCAACCTTGAGCTTGGCGTCGGCCAGAGCCTGCTCCAAGGGGACATGGAGGCGCTTGAGCAGAGGCTCAACTAGTTTCTCGAGTTCCTCACGGCTCATCATGGTGGAAACATCGACATCGTTCATCAAGGACTCGATGTTGATTGGGGCTTGCTGGTTGGCGGACAAGATCTTCTTAAGCTTCTCGGCGGCGGCATGGACACGGACGAGAGCTTTGGGATGGCTCTTGATATCAATCTTGTACTTTTCCTTGAACTCAGAAGCCAGGTGGTCCACAATAGCCTTGTCAAAGTCACGTCCTCCGAAATGGCGATCGCAGGCAGTAGACTTGACAGTTAACTCGCCCTTTCTGAACTCTACAATGGAGACCGTGTAGTTGCTGTGTCCAATATCAATAAAGGCCACACGTCTGGACTTCTCGTCGCCAGTAGGAAGATCGGTCTTAGTAATTCCGTAACCCAGAGCAGCTGCGGTAGTGTCGTTCATCAAGCGGAGAAGCTTAAGGCCGGATATCTCAGCAGCGTCCATGAGGGCTCGTCGTTGGGCATCGGTGAACCAGGCTGGAACGCTCATGACCAAGTCAGAAACTGGTAGCTTCAACTCCGCAGATGCTGTGGCCTTGACCTTGCTCAAGAACATGGAGACGAGCTGTGTCGAAGTAAACCGCTCCTTCTTTCCCAAGTAGGTAACCTCCGCACCGACTTGGCCATTGATATCAACAAGGGGCGCGGAGACGAAGTCCTGCTCGATTTGCACATCGGGGTCGTTGAAAGAGCGCCCTGCTAATCTCTTGAGAGAGCTAACTGTGTTCTTGAGGTTGGAGATTTCCTGGGTCTTCGCGGGCTCGCCGAGGTATCTGGATTTAGGACCGAAGCCAACTAGGGATCTACCGTAGGATTCAGTATGCGCAGATCGAAGGGAAGCAGGACGTGTAACTCACGGGGTGGCTCGGTTGGAAACTTCATTGGTAATCTGTACACAGTCAGTATTCCAAAGCCTGTGATAATAGGTCTAGGATCCAGAATCCAGGATTCCGCAGTACATACCACATCGACTCCACGGTTTCTGGCAACGGCAATAACAGTATTGACCGTCCCCAAGTCTACACCGACGACTGCAAACAGTGTTAGTAGATGACCAAAGGCTGCGACGTGTTTGTTGACATACCACTCATGTTCGCGGTAGTGTGCGGCTTTCTTTCAGTGCAGATGTAATGGCAGGTTCAAGAGGATAGATAACAGAGGTTCGCGATCAAAATGGAGTATGCGAGGAGGGTGGGGGGGGGGGGGGGGTGGTTTGGGAATTTTGGATTGTGAGGTAGGAGGTTTGGTCGGTATGGTTGTTTATGGGCGGCAGCAGGAAATTCTTCCTATGGACTGGTTGCGCTAGCTAGCTGTTTCTCGAAGTGTCGATGCCGAACTAGAAGGGTTGAGTCACGTGCAGCGAGGGGCATTCATATTGCCCCGCCTGAGCAATCTCTGAGCTGTTAAATGACGAGCTTGTGGGTCTCGACCAGATTACACAGATTACACAGATTAGACAGTTTACACAATTTACACAATTCACACAATTCATACAATTATTCCAAATGTTGACTTCGGCTAGGCCTAGGGAGCCCTAAATAGCTGTATATTTGTATATGTACCGAAGCTACGTTTTGTTCGCCAGACGTGTGAACAGAAGCCGCTCACCTTTCACAAACAGTCGAGGCTGGAGAGGTAGGTATCATGAGGAACCAATCATATTGAATAAGCTCTCCTTGAAAGGCTTGCCTACAAGATGCCTCCCTATCAACACAACCTTTCCCTGTGAACTGGATGCCTGGGCCGAGTCACTCGTACTTTGAGCATCAACAATTTCAAATACGTCTCGAACCCCTTGGGCAATCTTGACTTCGCCATTCGAAAGCGGCAGTCTGGCCTTAAGCCTATGTATCTCAAACTTTTCTTCCCCAGTTGAGCCCGCAGCCGGTAGCGTGGAATCCCAGAGAATTGACCTGAGCCACTCGTCGAATTTGGGCAGCTGGTCAGCCTCAAGGACTGGGATTGTGAGGGTTATTGTTGCAATTGTCTTCGGAGGTTGGTCAGCGTACACTCCACCCATCGTAGACCTACATACCGGATCCAAGTGACTATGCCCTTTATCCGCAACTTCCAATGCTCCCACGTCACTGTACGCATCTAAATTCAACAGGTACCCCTCGAGTTGCGGGACCTTCCCTTGAGAGGTGATATGAATCTTTGCAAGACCGTTAATGGCCTGTACTCGCTCCTTGACAGCGAGCAGCTCTTGCTCGCTAACCAGGTCCGATTTGTTGATCACAATAACATCCGCGTATGAGATTTGGAGATGCGCTGTGGTCAAGACAGGCCCATGGTGTCCCTCGTGCTCTTCATGCTTGACAGTCTCTTGAACAGGGTCATCAAGACTCTTCAGGATGTTCTTGGCATCGATCAAGGTAACAATGCCGTCCAGATAGATGGTACTTCCGAGTCCTTCGTCGACCCAAAACAGAGGTGCAAGATTCCCTGGGTCTGCTAGACCAGTGGTCTCAAGGAGGATATAATCAAAGAGTCCTTTCTTCTCCATCAACGATTCAATGGCTGCGACTCCTGAATCTCTGGATTTTGTCAACAGAGAGTTTACAATTGATGTGAGAGATAATTACCTCACCGAACAGCAAATACAGCCATTGCCGACTTCAAGCCATTCCTCCACTTTCTCACCGCCCTTATTGACAGTCAAAGACTTTTCAATATCAATCGCTGAGCCGTTAGCAAGCTCTTTTCACATAGAGCAAAGATTCTAGCCACACTTACAATCGCCGAATTCTGATGCTGGCGTTAGCAAATTTGACATGTTGGAATACGAGGAGATATATACCATTCAATATGACGGCTATCTTCTTGCCATGCTGCTCGTTCAGAATGTAGTTCATCAGGGTTGTCTTCCCAGCTCCGAGGTACCCTGTACATGCCTGAAGTTAGTAAGTAGCCGACTTGCTGGTTGATAGTGGAACTTGCCCGTCACTATGGTAATAGGGACTTTGATGATGGGATTTGGATCGTCAAGTGAACCAAGTGCACCAACATCAATCTCCTTCTCGACCTCTACCAGCAAAGGAGGTTCCTCATCATCGACATTCATTTTGACGTTGTTGGCGGGCAAAAGGATGTTCCGGCGAGGCCATGAGCTTAAGTTTTTAGCGCCGACTGCGAGCCGTCACGAAGACAAAGCAGTGCGCGGACGCGTTTCTCAGAAAACAAACTTCTGACCACCGCTTCGATGCACATTGCCTGACCGCACTAAGTCTCGATAAGCTGAATTCTCCGACGCTGCTCTAAGTGAAGCTCCGAACACAAAGATCACAAGAACCAAGAACCATGGTGCTCCCTCCAAGCTCTCCTCGACTCCCGAGCCCACCACCTCCCACGGAAATCCAGATAGGACCAAAATCCCCCGGACTGAGTGGCTCAATGGCTGAACCTACGATCGAACAGAGCATGATTGACGCTAACTCCAGACGGCGGATACACCCAGGTACCAGATCTGCAGATATGGCAGCTGGCCCTCCCCTCATCCCTCTGAACGAGGTAAGACCTTGCTCCTAAGAAGCTTCCAAGAAGCTCCTACCAGTTAATTCCTACGACTGACTGACATAGCTCGACTCGGCCTTCCAACTCCAAGAGCATCTGAAAGCTCTCCACTACTATTACTCCAAGCCTCCGAACGGCGAGGACACAATCCCTATCAGTCGCGAAACCGCCATCCTCATCGCCACCCAACCTGAAGGCGTCGATCGTGCCCTATGGCTCTACGAACTATGCCGCTTCCTCATAAACAAATGCAACGACCTTATTATTGGGTTCCTCTTCGACCACCCGGCATGTTCTGCTGCAACCTGTCCCGAGATGCGAGCCAGCGAGTGGCAATTCCTGTGCGCGGTCCACGAGTCACCCAAGAGTTGCTGCGCTATCGATTATTGCTGCCACACCCTGGACTGGGCCACCAATATCGTCACCAGCCAGAAGATTTTCCCCAGTAGGCTGAGTCTGGGGGCTGGAGATGCTGTTGACGAGAGGGGAGCCGGTGTTAAGCACTTGACGAACATATTCAGACGCTTGCACCGCATATTCGCGCACGCTTGGTTCCAACATCGAGGGGTCTTCTGGCAGGTCGAGGGACAGACGGGTCTATATGTTCTGTTTAAGACTGTGTGCGATACCTATGATCTTCTGCCCGCAGAGAACTACAAACTGCCGCCAGAGGCGGAAGGATTAGAGCCGGTGGAGGAAGCCCGGCCTGTGGCGCCGCAGATAATGAAGTCTCTGGCATCTATGTTTGCGGCCGAGGACGATCCGAGTCGGAAGAATACGAGACGCCATATCAGGCAATCGCCATCCGTGGGATCTTCTGTAACGACTGTGCTGGAGGCGGACGAGGATGAGGCAGATTTTACCCAGAAGTTCGACGATATGCAGATCACTGAGGAGGGAGGTGGGGTAGAGATACCTGTGATTGTCGAATCGTACGAGGAGGATGAGCGCCAGGATATCTCAGAAAGAGAATCTGAAGCTGTATCTGTTCAGGAGATAGAAGGTGAGGTAGAGGCGGGTGCAGATGCAGATGCAGGTACAGATGTAGAGGAAGCATCTTTGGACGTACAGGGCGAATCGACATCATCTACTTCGTCATGGGACAGTATGTCATCCGAGCTGGAGGAGAAATTGAAATCAGAGTCTGAGATCCCAGAATCAGACGACTCCGGAGACGAAACTGCCTTGGAATCAGAAGATGTTCAGGACGAGACCTTGCTGGATCTCCACGAGCTGGCGGTTAAGAGGCCAGCGGCTATGGTAAAGGAGTCTGACGAGACCACCGGGCATGGGCCGGAGAAGGCTGCGGAGAAGGCAGAGGAAAAGCAAAAGATTGAGGAGTCATAATATTTCATGTGGTAACATGGGAAGGTGTGTGTTCTATTTCAAGTTTGTACTTTTAAGATACCCAAAAATAGATAGATCGCGAGGTTCATCACTTCACTGTTGACACTGTTGACTCGATAACTCTTACAAGTCTCTCGGACTCTTTTCTCTCGAGGCATGGCAAGCAAACACAGTTTCCCCATGTCACCGCCTGGAAGTTGAAACCTTTCTTTGGGTGGGATTTTCTTCTCATTCATCTCGCTGACCAAACATTCTTCTTCACCTTGCCAAATTCCCCGTTTACTTAGGATCCAAAGTGAATACAGATTCTTCAAAACTCCCCAACGCCTCGCTTCCCGACCATCCACGCGGTATCCCACACACCATAGACGCAATTCTGTGCTTCCTACATAGCTATTCAAGCTCAGCAATGTGATTCTGGCCTCCATACGCCGCTGTCTTGTGCGCCGCTGCCTTCCGCCTTTGCGACGGCGGCGGTCGGTACGCAGTCGCCGGCAGCAAATACTCCGGCTCCGACACAGTTATTTTCGGGCTCTGTTTCGGCGGCAAATTCTGCCACGAAAGCCTCTCACCCGGGGGCTGTCCTCCGGCCGCCGGATCCGGTGATGGTTTTTTCTCCGACCCTGAACCGCCCGTGTTCCTGATGTTGAGCCCAGCCGGATACAGACTTTCGTCGTCGCTGTTCCTCCCATCAGACTGTTCAGAGCCGAAGCTGTTATGACTGTGGCCGTAGCTCTGCGTTGGAGGCATCCTTGGGCTCGGCATACTCCAGTGCCCAGAGCCACTTCCGGGCCCGTAGCTCTTTTGGCTGTAACTGTCGCTGATCCGTTTCGCTTGGAACATATCCGGGCCTTGCAAGTTCGAATGTGTGCTGGTGTGTCCCATAGATTTCCCTGCTATGCTTTGAGATTCGTATTCACTCGGCTCATCCTCGGTAGAGGCTTGCGGCCCTGCAAACGCGATGCTCTGGGCGTTCAGAGCCTGGTTCTTGGCCGATGCTGACTGGAGTTGGGATTTCATTATGAGGCGGCCGACTAGATGCGAGTGTGCCTTCTTCAGTGTCTTCTTGACGAACCCCCCCATCATTATGTTGCAGCGCATCTAGCGGCGTCAGCGCCTCTCCCACCGGATCTTGGATGCGACGATACTTACATCGACATCCTCGCGCAGCCATAGCCCGTGTAGTGGCGCCCCGATTCCTATTTCCACGGGCGCAATCAGCTCTCCGGGTAAAGAGCCCCCCAAGGTCCATTTTCCTTTGATGTCCAGGCCAAGGGGCGCATAGCAGTGTGTCTGGAGCCCATCCTTCAGGTCGTGGAAACAGCATGTGTAGCTCACCTGTCCACTTGCCAGGCCCCCGGGAAGATAATGAACGCGGTCAGTGAGCGAGTACCAAAGACAGTGGTACTCCTCGGCGGTGGCATCTGGCGGGGGCTTGATCGGATGGCGCTCGATCACGAGAGGGTTGAGGTCGATCATCTCGGTATGCGATCGAAGTGTTTCCATGACGGTCTCCCTCGTTATGCCTTCGGGCAGAGGGGTGAGAGTTGTGAATACGAATCGTTTCGGCATCTTGAAGCTCCCAGGTTGGGTGCGGGGTCGTCCAAGGTCAAGAGGTGTGGGGATGTGAAGCTTGTGAAGCTTGTGAGTGCTAGCAAGTATCTATTCAACGGTCGTCGTCGGCTTCACCTCGTCGTCGTCATGGCAAACGAGCAAGCCAGATTGAACAATAACCCCAGTGGTGGGAAACGATGTGTGCCCAACCCCATCACCGAGGAACGAAGAAGTTGCACGGGCTGTCTGTGAAACCGTCAAACCCGGACTAGGATTTTACTAGGCCGGCGCCATCATGGGGCTTGACCGTCACCGATGTCGATGTCTGGACTCAATGCTTCTTCGAAACTCAACTCAACGGAGCCAAAGTCAAAGAAGTCAATATCGACATCTCACACTGTTGATCTGCTTTTAAGAAAAAAGTGCACAAGGGGCCATCGAATATTGGGACCCCAACTCAGTTGACTTAATTGACCAGCTTACACACTTCCACGTATTAATAGCCGGGTGGCAATGCAGCCACATCTCGTACAGACAGATCAGAGTTTGCTTGGGCACTGCTTCAGTCCTGTCCCCCCCAGCCGAATCATCTACTTATACAAGACCAATCGATCAAAAGACAATAACTCGGTACATTTCTACAACGCCGCATAGGCCAACGCTGCAGCTGCTCCAAGGACCCAGGGTGCTTGCGTGATCATGGGTGTCCCTCCTGTGCTGAGACTCGTGCTGCTGGGACTTCCAACCGCAGGAGTTCCCGATCTCGTCGAGCTACCGCTCCCTTTGCTCGACGATGGGGATGCGGATGTGGTCGTAGAGGCAACACTGCTGGTTGTAGCCGCTACTCCAGCTGTGATGGTAACAGCTAAAGTCCCAACATAAGAAGAGTAACTAGCGTCGTTCAAGGACAGAGTAATTCTGGACGTTTCCGTGGAGGACGACTCTATCTCCGCAACGGTGGCTGTACACACTCCCAAAGGCGAGGGTGCCGGCGTTATTTTGCAGTTCAACTCATTCGAACCCGAGCCGTAGGGCAATGTCATCTGGTAATGAATGGTCGAAGGCCCCTCGACAAAGGTGAAAGATGTTGGGATGGGGCACTCCGAGTCGTCGCTGGTGTCCGCACATGAGAGGGCATAAGTCGTGGCCGCTGCATCCTGGGAAAAAATATCAGGGCACGCTCAGATGCAGAGACGCCAGATCGGAATGGAAGTACGCACTGAAGCTACGATTGATCCCAAAACTTGCCAGTTCTCCCCGGTGGCATAACCAGGGAAGAGGAGCGACACGGTGGAGTTGGCAGCCGCTGCCGCTGCCGCTCCTACGTCCACGAGGGCCAGAATAGCGAGAGTCGACTTGCGCATCAGCATGATGGATAGATGGTCGTGAAGGTAAGAGAGTAAACCTCCGAAAGCTGATTTTGTTTCCCGAGGGCAGAGTGACACTTGGTATAGGATCGAGATCCCCCTGCATGAGTATCCGGTCGGCGCAGCACTAGTGACCTGTTCCGGCGGCACAGCTCAGATATTGACTGTTTGCGCGGCCTGATTTGACAATGGCTCCGTTCGGGTAACTTCTGTTTACTGCCAGTCCGGGTCGTCACCATGAGATGGACTTCAAAGCTCTGAGCCTCGAGCTACTGGCTCGAATGCTTCTAGCACTCGTCCTTTACGATGTTGGGTAGAGGTACTTGGATCCTCTCTGGTGGATTCTCCTGTTCAAGAATGTTGCCGATCGCCTCATGGTGCTGCTTCCCTTTTTGTTTCGCACGGGCCCACAGCAGACGGCTGGCTGCATTAGATTCTCAGTGATAGGAGGAGACTGAAAGCCACGCTGTGTTCAACCACTGTGTTCTACCACTGTGTTAATTACCACCGGTTCATTACCAATGTTATGTCCGGAGTTAATGGAGCGGGTCGAAGAAGCAGGCGAGATACCCTTCTTTTCTCAGGGCTTCATTTGAATCTTCAATCTAGGCATACCATCACTCTTTTGATATGCTCGGGCTCAGGAGACCACAGGCTCTCGTTTATTTGTATTTACATAATAAACTTTTCGTCCCTATATTAAGCGAGGTTCTGTTAAAGAAGACAAGCGAACTTCATTTCCTCTTCTCGACATCTCTCCCCTCGATTATGTGCTTTATATGTGATCTCAACCAGCCACGCATCGTCTCTCCCGCGCACCCTACAAATAGCCTACTTTCTTTTCCAGCAAGACGCTACAAAAGTTCAAACTCGGAGTCAGTGACGGCGAGCGCGACAACCGCGAGAGACCCCTGCTATCTCTTCCGCGAGCGAGCATACCAGTACCTAAATCCAAGTACGCCTTGGAAACGCAGAAAAGCAACTTGACAGCGCTGTAGTCACAGCGTACTGGCCTCCTCGAGCCGCTCGGAGACCAGTCGAGGAACCAGCCATCACCGCATCTATCCCCAGCGCACCCGTACGTACCCTTCCAGGGGCCGCCACCGCTCGCCGTTCGAGCTCGGCACTCTCGGCGCTTATCCTAGGTACGCGCCAGACTCGGAGTTGGAGGACTTTGATAGTTGTGTGTGTGTGTGTGTGTGTGTGTGTGAGAGAGAGAGAGAGAGAGAAGTACCTACCTACCTACCTACCTACCTACCTACCACCCCCCTATAAGAAACCTAACCTAACCTAACCTACCATATCCATCTCGAACCAGCCCTCCTCTGGCAACAGCAAAGACCTATATACATACATACATACCTACAAAGCAGCAGCTAGCTAGCAACACGCCTCAGCCAAAGAGTACATCCATCCATCCATCCATCCATACAATAACCGCAAACGCAAACACACCCGAGAGAGAGATACCGTACCAATGCTGCTGCTGCTGCGGCGCAGCAGCAGCGGCGGCCGAGGCAGAGGAAGACGTGAGTGAGTATAAAGAAGTGAACGGTTCGCGGCACTGGATACGCCCGGCTGATCTACTACCTACCTACCTACCTACCTACCTACCTCCTTACAAACTAGCTTATCGATCACCCCTACCCACACCCGCACCTACTTGGATACTTGGATACTTGGATACTTGAGCGTCATGGACGAAATTTCGTCTTTTTGATACACACATACACACACATACACCCACCCACTCACTCACTCACTCACTTACTCACTCACTTACTCCCTTCCCCCAATATCCCCCCCCCCCCCCCTTCCCACCCCCTTCCCACCCCCTAAAAAAGAAAGGGTTGCTTCCTTGGTTTCAACACGCATCGCGATCGATCGATCGATCGACTAGACTAGACTACCTACCATACATACATACACACATACTATCTACCTAACCAACCTACCTACCTAGTCTACTTCTATCCACCACCACCACCACCACCACCATAATCCCCCCTCCCCAAAAAAATTTAAAAAATTTATGTGTATATATGTATATATATATATACACTCCATCTGTCTAGTTCTCCTCTAGCTAATTGACTGACTGCCTAATTGACTGCCTAATTGCCTACTTGACTACTTACCCGATCGAGTAACCGACCGAGCAACCCCTTCCTGGTAGCCAGTATACGAAAGAAGAAGAAGAAGAAGAAGAAAAAAAGAAGCCCAACAGACAGACTCAAGACAAGATATTAATCATCGTAACCACTGAACTGAACTGAACTGAACTTCCGTCCGCCGTCCGCCCGTCCGTCTGTTCCCCTCTCTCTCCTCACATCTACATCACATCACATCACATCACATCACATCATCAAAATCACCGAGCCTCGAGGCCTAGAATCCTGAGAGGTCCCAAATTTAACTACTCCAAGACATGCAAGAACGGATACTACACCCCCCCCCTCCAAAAAACCCCCCCCCTCCAAAAACCCCCAACCCCCCCCCTCCGACTCTTCCAACCGCATCCACCCCCCCTTCCCTCCCCTTCCTCCCCTCCCTACAACGCAAAAGCAGCAAGAGCAGCAGCAGCAGCTCCCACGACCAAGCCCCCCCCGACCTGGTGAGCCGACGCGGCACCGGTAAAGGTCGCCGGGTACGAGGTCGCCGGGGTGGCGTACGAGGCGGTCCCCGAGGGCTTCTCGGGCCCGATCGGCTTGGTGGCCCCCGCGGGCTTGGTGGTGGGCGCGCCCGCCGGGTACGTGGTCAGCGGGTTGCTGTAGACGGGGCCCGACGCGGCCGGGGGGCCCGCCGGGTAGGTGGCTGGCGTGCCCGCGTCGGAGGTGGGGGGGCAGGAGGTGTAGAGGACGGTGGAAGGGGTGGGCTTGCTGATGATGGGCTGCGGCGCGGGTGGATGTCTCAGTGAGGGGCTTTGGGTTTGGACATTTGGGGAAAAAACAGCTTGGGGGGGGGGGGGAATGTGAGGTGGAATGTGGATGGGCTGGAATGCAAAAAGATGGGGACGAACCTGGGTGAAGGTGCAGGGACAGTCGGTGATCGTGAGAGTGGTGGCCTCGGTGACGGTGTAGGTCTGGGTGCCGTGAACGATGGTGGTGGCAGAAGGGCAGTCTTCACCAAAGTTAGCACTGGTCGTCTGGCAGTCCGAAGCCGCCCCCTCCCAGAACCCTGGGAAGAGACATCTTCGGAGGGCCGAGAGCCAGAGATTTGGAGGGGTTGAACGTACAGGTAGTGAGGGCAGTGGTGGTGATGGTCTCGTAGACAACCGTGTCGTTGGAGTATGCGCCAGCGAGGGCACCACTGGCCAAAGCCAGGACAGAGACAACCGAGAACTTCATGTTGAGTTGGGGGGTTTCAGTACCAAGGCAAAAGTAAAGAGCGTGGGAGTCGAAGATGACTGTGTCTTATAAAAGAGTGATTGATCTGTGGGATACAAAGGAAGGAGAGAAAGCAGGAGGAGGCTGGGGGCGTGCTCGACTCTTAAAAGAGAGAATCCGGCCACGCTGTGTGATCTTGATCATTCTCGGGCCCCAAATCGCCACAGTGCCCATCTCATCAAACTCCAGTGTCACTGTAGTCGCTGTACGCCCCAGCTATGCCCCAGCCTTTGGCACCAATGCCAGGAGCCGAGTCTAGGGCCAGCCCGACTCACCCTCACCCAATCACTGACCACTCCAGGTCTCAAAAGGTTGAGCTGATCCACGCATTTTCATCTTGCGCGAATGCTTATTGATGGCGCCAGGAATGTGGACCTGAGAGGAAGGAAATTGCACCTTCGCGAGAGGAATGAAGCCAACATGCTAGACTTCCAAGTCCGTATCGCGGGCTCGGATTCGTGGGATGGAGGGCGATTTCTGTTTGCAGGAGAGGATAAGAATGAGAGGAGAGAGAAGGAGAAGAAAAGAAAAGAAAAGAAAAGAAAAGAAAAGAAAAGAAAAGAAAAGCAAAGAATTTTAAAAAAATAAAAAAAAAAAAAAACCAACCGAGAAAGAGAGAGGGAGACAGAGTCAGTTCTACGGGCTTTCATTCGATACACGACCCTGGGTCGCTCACTGAAGGTGGTCTCATCTTATGAGGGGCCCTCCTGCGACCGAGCATGTTATTTGCAAACCACCCTCAATCTCTTCGACCCCCCGACTAAGCAAAAAAGCACCCCGAAACCAAGGGCGTGAGATCGCGCAGAGAGCATCAACGGGGCACCGTCTAATACCCAATTCTTCCCATGCCGTAACGCCAGTGATGCATACACACACACACACACACACACACACACACAGGCTCGAAAATCCAATGAACCCACCAGATCAAGCGTGTCCAGAAAGTACAGAACGGGCAGCGAAAACATCCAGAGCTCGCGCCTTGGTCGGATACCCAAGGTCGGGGAATCTATGCAATCGCTTTTTTAAAAAAAGATCTATCCAAATTTTAAAGGTCCAGTCGCTGCGAGCTCAGGAACATATCTCGCGGTGAAGGCCGTTGTTGTTGTTGTTGAAAAAGAAGAACCGTCGAGGCAAATCCTTTTGGTGGATTGCGGAGTCGAGAGAGGCCTTCCCGATGCTTAGCGGTGGGACCTGCTCATGCTACGTTCAGGTAAGACCATGGGGTTTCGCGGAGCGATGGAATCAAAGTCGTAAGTCCGGAGAATCTGTTCGTACTTGGAGCTCTTCATGAATTTGGGAACCGAGTCCTGGAGAAGAAAAAAAAAAAATTAAGCCGGGGACAGAGGGGCTCGGGGATCCTGACAACTCACACTGGCCATGAGCTTGAAGACGGACAGCTGCGCTTCCTCGAAGAGCTTGGTCACCTCCTTGAGGCTCTCAATCATGGCCGAGTCCTGGCCAACCGCTTTGGTCATCCGGGTCGCCAGCTGGTTCCGCAGGAGATGGTCAATGTTGAGCTCGCAAGGCGAGCCGGGTGCCAGGAAGGCGTTGTAGATTCCGTACGCCGACGCCATGGTCTCCTTGACCGAGTCGAGCGCGGCCGCGGACGTACTCGCCGAGCTGCCGGCTCGGGAGGAAGACGCACTGGCCTTGATCGCAAGCTTACACGCCTTGAGGAACTCGTCCACATCCAGGTAGAAAGACAGGTTCTCCTCACAGTGCGTATCCCGCAGGTTCTCTCGGAACAGCAGTCGGAGCGAGGCGTCGTTCAGGATCTTGTCGAGTTTCTGCGTGTTGGAGTCGCGACCCACGCCGGGTCGGGCAGCCGGGCAGGTCGACGGCTCGCCGCCACTCTCCGAGATGCGCTCCCTCGATGTCATACTGATGACATCCTTGCCCTTCTGTGTCATCTGAAAGATGGCATGTTTCGTCGGCTGGAAGATGGTTCCCCACTTCTCTCGTTCCTGTGCGTGCATGTGCTGGAGATACGACTTGTCTTGCTGAACGCACCAGATGAATTCTTGCTCCAGAAACAGCGACGCGATCATGTTCGTCTCTCGGCGATCCACGGTCGTGCAGCAGTCCATCAACCAGTCCGTGGCGGCCTTGCCGGTGAAGGTCTGGGTATAGGTGCGCGGGGGTGAGCCGATCTTGCGCTCGGCGGCCATTCTGACCCCCGCCATGCCGTCCTTGTACTCATTCAGGGAATCCGAGTCGGCCGAACTGATGCTGCTCTTGACGTTCGGACCATTCTGGCCCACGAATCGGCGGAAGATGACCTCAATGGTGCCACGGTCGATCGAGAGCGTATCGTCCGGCGACTCGCGCTCGAGGATGACCAGCTGCATGGTGTTCCGGGCCGAGTTGACGAGTTCGGTAATGTGCTTCTGCTGGATTCCGTTCTTGGCGCAGAACCTCTCCAGCAGATGGATCCCCTTGGGGGTCAACTGCCAGACCGTGCCCTTCAAGGTGTAGTCCTTCAGGTGCTTGCCATCGGCCGACTCAATGAAGCGGGCCTCCAAGAATCGCTGGCACACCGATCGCGCCATCTCCCGCGCCATGGTGAAGGTGGTCGTGGTCGTGGTGGTCACTATGCGGGACGGATCCTTGGGATCTGGCATCCGGTTGGATTGGGAGAATTTCAGGGAGCCTAGATTGTTGATGGCCTCTTCGGAGAGGAACGAGTGCTCAACCCGCGACAGGCGTACCCGGTGCGGACCGAGCGGCAGGCTGACCACCAAGGTTGCGAACAAGTCCTTGAAATCCTACACAAAACAACATATTAGGCTCCTTCCTGTGCGGCCGCAGAGATCGATCGGTAGGTATCCCACCATCTTTGCTTACCCTGGTGAACGGCCTATCATCATGCGTCATGCGCAATAAGCGCGAGGAAGTCTGGTGCATCTTGGAGGAGGAGGACGAGGACGAGGACGAGGAGGAGGAGGAGGAGGAGGAGGAGGAGGACGACGAGGACTCGCTGGTGGAATGGATACCGGGCGGCGGAGCTGGTGTATCGGAAGACAATGTCTGAATAGGCTTGGGAAGGCGGATATTTCGAGTAGCGGGGGGAGGGTGAGGAGAGGATGTTCGAGTGGAGGAGTAGAATGTGGTTGTTGTTATTGTTGCCTCTCAATGTGCCTAAGTCGTATTGTCCCTGCCGATACTATGACTCCGCGTCGAGGAATGCTGCTGATTCACTTTTCGTGTGAAGATGGGTGGAAGAATTTGGGGTCGTGTGTGGTGGTATGAGCTGCTTGCTGGTTGGTAGGTGGTGACTGACTGAGTGACTGACTGACTGAGTGACTGAGTGAGTGACTGAGTGACTGAGCGACTGACTGAATGACTAATGGGTGGCGGGTTCGTCGAGCTGAAGCGAGGAGGCTTGAGGGAGAAGCGATGACAGACGAACGGATTGAAGGGGATTAATTGATTGATTGATTGATTGATTGATGGCGGGTCCTGTCCTGCGAGAGCCAATTCGAGAGGGAAGAGGTGAGAAGGGAGAGGGGAGAGGGAAGAGGTGAGAGGTGAGAGGTGAGAGGTGAGAAGTAAGAAGTAAGAAGTAAGAAGTAAGAAACGAGGATGAAGGCTCCGGGGAGGAGGAACTCCAATTGAGGTGGGTGTGGATTTGTGGTGGAGAGACAATTAGATGATGGGCACCTGGTGGGTAGGGCCGCAGGTGGATTTAGGTGTATGGAGTAGAAAGGCAGGCGGTAACGAGAGTTAGACAGGTATGGGAGGCTTGGTAGGGTAGGGTGGGGCGGGTGGGGCAGGTGGGGCAGGTGGGGAAGGGTGGGGAGGGTAGGGGAGGGTAGGGGGGAGGGTAGTAGGGATTAGTAGTAGTAGGGATAGGGATTAGGATAGGGATAGGGATATGGGTCTAGGGTGGATCGGGTTTTGTAAAGTAAAAAGTCGAGGTGGATCCGATGGATTTGATGGAGTAGGTAGGTAGGGTAAGTACGTCGTAGTAGTAGCAGTAGTAGTAGTGGTAATAGTAGTGGTAGTACAGTAGAAGTCGTCCGGTACATGGAGTTACGACGTACTACGTGGGACGAGGCGAGACAAGACGAGACGAGACGGGACGAGACGAGATGGAGCCCAAGAGATTGTGCTACTTGTACTGTACTGGACCTAGCGTGGCGTTCTTCTTTCTACGTAGTACCTATTGTACGGTACATATCCGTCCTTCCTAAAATAAGCGTGGCAGGGCAATGGCAATGGCAATGAATGGGAATGGCAATAGCAATAGCAATGGCCATAGCAGTAGCAGTAGCAGGGCAGCTCTTTCTCCATTGTTTGGATGACTGCTCGACTGCTCGTCTGCGCACTGCTCGATTGCTTGGCGGGCATCGGGTTCCATCCAGTCCAGTCATGCGGTCATGCGTTCGAGAAGGCTGGGCTTTCTTTTCTTGCTCTGTCGTCTGCCGTACCCGCCGTGCCCCGACCAAACCCACTCCCCCCGTGACCTGATGGAAAAGTATGCACTCGTGGCAACAAGGATCTACCCACGTTGATGAGAACCGAAATCACCGCAATCGGGAAGGTCTTGCCGCCCGCCTATGCCGGCCAAGACAGGGCCAAGGAGTGTCGCGCCAGGGCAGTCCGGTCCGTACGTACTGTCGCAGTGTAGGAGGAGGAGGAGTAGTAGGCGTAGTAGGAGTAGTAGGCGTAGCAGGAGTAGTAGGCGTAGCAGGAGTAGTAGGAGGAGGAGTAGTAGTCGTAGTAGTAGTAGTCGTAGTAGTCGTAGTGGTAGTATTAATAGTAGTAGTAGCAGTAGTAGTAGTAGTATTATTAATAGTAGTAGTAGTACTAATAGTAGTAGTAGTAGTACTAATAGTAGTAGTAGTATTAATAGTAGTAGGAGTAGTAGTAGCAGGAGGAGTAGTAGCAGGAGGAGTAGTAGTAGTAATAGTAGTAGAAGTAGTAGTAGTAGTATTAATTGTAGTAGTATTAATTGTAGTAGTAATAGTACTAGTAGCAATAGTAGTAGTAGTAGTACTAGCAGTAGTAATATTAATAGCAGTACAACCACACAGACTGCGACCGACAGCTACCACAATGGCCCATCCACGTGCCGTCATGGTACAGTAGCTAGGACAGCTAGGCCGAGTACAACTAGTGAGACGGGTAGAACGTTGTACTATCCGCCCCTTTGCGACAGTCCGCACGTGGCAATCCATCTAGTGCTAGTACTAGTATCCATCGTCCTCCATCCTTGCAACGAGTGTTTCACAGCTGGACTAGTATGTACGACGACGTCTGCCTATCCCGACATCCTAGTACAAGTCGATACGGCTATACGAGCATGAATCGTGAGTCGAGCCGAGTTGAGATGCAATAACAACAACAACAACAGCAACAACAACAACAACAACCAGAAAATGCGGCCGGTGGAAGAAGCTTGTGGGAATACAGTATAAGCAGCATAGGAGGAAGTGTATATATGTAGTAATACGCACTACTACTTCTACAACTACGACTACTACTTCTATGACTCCTCCCCCTCCTCCTCCTCCTCCATCGCTTCCATCGCTTCCAGCGTCCAGAGTCCAGACCTACACCCTGATCCTCGTCTACGGGGAAAATCTAAATCAGGTACGGACTCCGTGGGGTCGCTTCGGTCGTGTTTCCGCACTGCCACGTTGCTTTTGGCTTTGGCGGTTTGGCTTGTGAACCTTTTAGCTTTTTGGCTTTTTGGCTTTGTGGCTTCTATGGCTTCTCTGGCTTTTTTGGCTTTTTGGCTTTTTGGGCGTTTGGCTTTCGGCTGTTGTACGGACTCGGTCCTACAGAAGCCCTGGCGACCACATGGCCGGACCAGGGCCGGCGGGGTCGTGCCTGGGTCCCGGACTCCCTGCTCCCCCCCTCCCTGGTCCTCATGCAGGGGGAATCAAAGAAGAAAAAAAGAAGAAGGAAGAAGCAAAAAGCGTACGGGGTACGGAGCGCAGGAGAAGTCGCAGAAGGATGTGGATAGCGGTGGTGTGGTGGTGGTGGTGGTGGTGGTGGTAGTAGTGATAGTAGTACGTGTTAGGATTTCGAGAGAGTGGAAAGAGATCGATCGTCCTTCAGAGCAGAGCAGAGAGAGTACCGTCACACGTGCCATGATACCGGGAACTTCTCAGACAATCGATCGGAGATACTGGAGAGAGAAAGAAGAGTACAGTCAGTGAGTTACCTACCGGTAGTCATACAAACTCCTTCGGCGTTTAGCTGCCGCCACTTGTGGTTGGTTTCCCGCGTGGCAGTGGCCGTGGCCGTGGCAGTGGCAGTGGTCGTGGCAGTGGCAGTGGCAGTGGCCGTGGCGGCAGTGGCCGCATGGCGGTATCCCCGGGGGGCTTTCCCCCTCAGGGAAGCATTCATGTACTGCCCAAACAGTAGTAGTGGAAGAATGTAGTAACAATTACGTACTTCTGGAGGACGAAGGAAGTAGTTGTACTGTAGTACCGGTAGGTAATCGTAGCACAACTACGGAGGAACTGTAGTACCTATAGTACTGTGGTAGTATTAGTCCTGTACCACTCACCATCCCTTGTACGGTCCAACCGGAACCCGAGATTCTTCCATGGGTCTTCGAGAAAGTCAAGGGGGGGAGGGGGGAAGAGGGGGATTTGTTCAGGTTCAGGTTCAGGTTCAGGTTCAGGTTCGGGTTCGGGTTCGGGTTCGGGTTCGGGTTCGGGCTCGGGTTCGGGTTCGGGCTCGGGTTCGGGTTCAGGTAATGGAGGACGAGCCCGGATGTACGGAGCCCCAGCAGAAAGACGGAGAGACAGAGGACAGCGGGACAGAAGGACAGAAGGACAGAAGGACAGCGTAACAGCGTAACAGCATCGGCGATCCTGCTGTGAGCAAACCAACACTAAAACCACGCGACGGAACGCAAACGTCCATCTTCCGTAGTCTCCTCCCACCAACGGACTAATGATGATCCGCCTCGCACCAGATCTACGACTAGAACTAGAACTGGGGCTAGAGATATAAATAGAAACAGAAACAGAAATAGAACTAGAGCTAGGAATAGACATAGAACTAGAACTAGAGCTAGAACTAAAACTAAAACTAGAACTAGAGCTAAAACTAGAACTAGAACCCAGATCGCCGACGCGAATCAGACTGACATGCATAGACAGCCCGCCAGCATTTCAGGAACCCCCCGTCTCAGGAAGGCGGCAAGGCAAGCACACCCGGAACGCCCTCAACTCCACAAGCACCAAGACGAGAGAGACATGTCGACCCTTGCCGCGCTCGCTGCGTACCATAACCTAACCTGCCCACAAACGCCCAACACCTGCAGCGACGGTGCCTCGCCTCGCTAACTACGGACGCGACCGAAGCGGCACCCTGACCTCTCAGATAGCCGCGGGGCCGGAATCCCTCCTCCAGCCCTTCTGCCGCATGTTGTCCTCAATCCCCTTCCAAATGCCCTCGACAACCTCTCGATCCCGAAACCGAGCCGCGGATCGCTCGCCTACGTTGTACTTGTCAATCTGCGTCTGGAAGACACCTCGTCCCCACCCCTTGACCGTGTCGGGGATCTGGTCACCTCTCCAGCCCACGTACACACCCATCGTGTGCTTGAAGAGTTCCGTAGGATTTTGCCACTTGTACGCTTTGAATTGCCATGCTTGCCCTGTCGTGAAGACCGCCACCACGCGGTTCCAGTACTCGGGCTTGAATTGCTCGGGGGTATCGACGAGGATGAAGCGCACGGGACGAGTGGCGTCAATCGAGGGAATGACGCGCATCGTGTGTAACAGGCTCGAAGAGCTGCTTGAGGACGCGCTGGTAGAGTCGGGTGGGACGTACATGCCATTCTCGAGGAACGCCTTGATGTTCGACAAGCGGAGGAGCGACGACGCTGATGGCGAGAGTAAGATGATAGGGTCGGGGCGACGGCCGGAGGATTTGGGGTTGTTTGTCAATGCCGTATTCTGAGCGGCCACAGCAGCTGCTGCTTGCGCAGCCTTCCGCGCATTGAAAGGAGCTGCGAGTTTGCGAACGTGAGAGAAGTCCTAGTCCGAGTCAGATTTCCCCGCCCGGGCGTGTATCGGGATCGGATGAGCACTTACCGTAGGCTTGATGCCCCTCAATACACTGTTCCTATCACCCATCTTCCGCTCCCCGTTGTAGATCTCCGCCAGCCGAGGATCAATAGTCTTCCTCTGCCTCCCCAGGGCACCACTCGTCACCGGCGCAATACCCCCCTTCACACCAGACGCAACCTGCGCCGACGCTGCCGCGCTCGACGTATCCGACGCCAACGGCTTAATGTACTCGGACTCTTCACTCGCACCCTCCAGCCAGGTAATCAGGTCCAACCGCTCCACGAATGCGAGACCCTGCACCTGTCCTCCCGCGCCGCCTTCAGCAGCCAGCTCCGCGTTCAGCTCCTGGGCTGCGCCATTGTATTCAGGGATCGCCGTCTCGCGCTTCTCCCACGCGAAGAAGATGCTGCGGAGGTCGACGGGCTTATCGGACGAGAAGAAACGCGTCGGGGTGGTGAGGGGGATCGAGACTTGTGTCGGCGACGAGAAGTGAAGGAAGGCTGCTTTGGCCAGGCTGAGATCCACGGACGAGGCAGAGGATGCATCGGCGGTCGTAGTGGGTATGATCGGGCTGCTGGCTGCAATGGATCTTTTGAGCAGTAACAGAGCATCATGCTGGCTGCCGTCTAGTGCTGCCATCTTGATGTGTTAAATGCTCTTTGCTCTCTCTCTCTCTCTCTCTCTCTCTGTGTGTGTGTGTGTGTCTTACTAGGCGCGTTCGGTCCAATCCTAAAATCGCAGAGTCGCCGAAGCTGAAGTGCGAATTTCGATTTATCAAATCGAGTGGTTTCCGACGCAACAATGTTGTCGAGACCAGGTGGTTGGTTGTTTACGTAGGTCGGAGGGAAAGTTGTAGCGCAAGGAAAAAAAGGTGGTGGGTTCCCGAGGCTGAGGCTGTCAGTTAGCGCGAAAACCTCCAATTGGGTTTCGCATGCAGTTGATGTAAAAAATTCCAAGTCTTTTTTAAGTCAAAGCTTCCTCAACCACGGTCTCATCCACGGCAGCTCAATTTACTTCTACAAAGAGGCTAATATCAATCGATTTTGGTGCAGCAGCAGCAGCAGCAGCAGCGTATGAGATGCTACGACCTCATGGTGCTGTACAGATTGCAGTAGGTATCCCAAAAGCTACAAACTTTTGGCCAAGTTGGGGCATGCTTATTAACCCCGAGTCCGGAGACGGATCCGGTTCTTATCAAACAATGCATCGAACTGGATCTTTCACTAGGTAGGTAGGTAAGTAGGTAGATACCTAGGTATGTGGGTGGTCAGACAGCCATCCATGCAATACTATAAGTCAGAGATAATAAATCATAACAATCACGAGATTCAAGAGACAATAAACACCGAGAAGGCATGGCGAAGAGAAATAATGCCGATGCTAATACAGCGGTACCCATTCATTCCTAGTCAGTATGACGCAAGTAAGGTATGTGTTATACAACTTCGGAATCCTTTCTCCAGTCTATCCTAACATGAGCCACTCACTTCTATCTAGTTTCGTTTCGTACTCCTTTGCACCATCAATCGCTCATGCTCATGATCAGCCTCCAGGGCCCGTTTGCGCCTTTGACAATCACAGCTGTTCCATTCTCTTCCAAGGTCAATCGCCTGCTGCAGTCCTTAACGGCCTTGGTGCCGCTCCGCTTTCTTGCGAATCTGCTCTCTTGATGTTCTTCAGATTGTTGCTTCTCTTTCTCCCATGATACGGGCAGATTCCACTCCCACCGCTCTTGTGCTTTGGGTTCTTTGGGCATAAAGGGCTACTTGGGAGATGCTCAGGCAGGTTTAATTCGAATGATGGGCCTGGTGGTGACAAGGCTTTCGTCGCCTTGCTGCCCGTGAATACATGCTTGGTATCGGCTTCCCACCAGTCCAGGCTTGGAGATGTTGCCGCTGAGCGTTTGACAGCGGCAATGCTGCTGCTACCCGTTGAGCCCCCGCTGGTGCTTTGATTAATGTTGTCGCCTCTCGACGTCGCATTCAAATCAAAGAAGAGCCCCCTCGCTTGGACAGCAGGGTTACCAGGAAACATAGGGGGAGTATTGACACGCTTTGCTTCCTATCTCAGAGAGGTCCCGTCAGTGGCTACGCTGTTCTTGGGATGGCTGGCTCTCTGTGAGTACTCACAGATGGTAGATAGTTGGGCTCAAGGGGATCCGGACTTGATATGTCGACTAGGCACCAAGGTGTCAGCTTCACACATTCAGTTTGTCGAAGACTCAGCAATTATTCACCTCTCTGGTAGGCTCTCCCGTCCTTCGCCTCGTATTGCTGCTCCGGATCTGGGGTGGCTGATGGGGCCTTGCCAAGCAGTAACTTGAATACAGAGCTTGAAGCAGAAAGGTTCGACTCGTGAGAGCTTCTGCGATGCCAGGGAGCGAGCCCGAATCTCCGCAGTGACCTGGAACCCGGTGTGCCTGGGGTGTGTGATGTTGCGGACGACGTATACAGGTCAGAGGGAGGGTAACGTTCACGCTCCACCCGATCAAGATAATGCGAAGTGCCCTCTAGGATCATTGTTGTGCGAGAGGCCACTTTTTCCGCATCTGTGTCGGCCGGTAAAACGTCATCTGCCTTTGTGGTGTTACATTGCCTGCTCGGGAAGTGAGGCTCAGGAGTGGCAGCAACTCACTACGGTGGCTTTCGGTAGAAATTTTGTCCGAATCGTCTTCTTCGTCCGGCAATATAGACCTAGCTGTTCTGCAGGAGCGATTGCATAATACTTCGGGATGTTTGTATTGGCATGGACATCCAAGCGGTTGGCCTTGTCGCCATGCTGCCCGCCGCTATTATTTGGGGGCGTCGATGCAGAATGTTCGTTAGTAGCCGGTTTAGAGATCTTGGACGCCTTTCGCGAAAGCAAACTCCCTATATGGATCCTGGGCAGGTCGACTGGAGCGGTCGGAGGAGCTGTTCTGCTACTAGTTTCGGCCTTCCCTGATTTATCGGAGCCTTTACTTTTGCGTTCTGGGGAACGATTCCACCATTTTGGGCGCGAGCCCTGTTTCACAGATGGAACACCAGGGGAAAAGTCGCGTATCTCTCGCTCAGCCCAGTATCCTTCCGGAAACCAAACCCATTCGAGGCCATCTCTTGCAGGGCGAGGTGGATCCATTGGATGTGTTGTTGTGTGGCGGCCGCTCGAGGACCGACTAGTGAGCCCCATACTCGACTCGTTCCAATTCCGTATATATTGATTTCTACTTATCACAGACTGTGAGTCGCTTGCTATGGAGTTCGCTCTCGGATATGGGCCTCTGGCTGACCCCCCTGACTGATGCGATCTCGTTTCCAGGGCGGTTGGCTCTCCAGGCGGACTGAACTTAGGCGACACCGCATCTGAATCAGAGGTCCTTTGCCGGACGAGGAAGTAGGAGGAGATATCTGACCTCCTATCCTTGCCCGCGTCTTCATGGCTCCCCTTTAGAAGGGCGGAAGGTACAAGGTCGTTTGTTTTCTTCATGCTGGACGGTATTTTGTACGTACGCGTCGAGCACTCCAATGTGCTGTCCAGAAAATCGGGCCAGAGATAAAGGAACAAGAAATTCTGTGCATAGGTTTGACGAGCTTGAGGGGTGGTTATCGCAGGTTAAAATGCCGGCTGTCAATCTAGGATAATTATGTTGTACATGACTCTTTTCTTTTCTTCTCTTTCTTCTTTTTCTTTTTTTTTTTTTTTAAAAAAAAAAAAAAAAAAAAAAAAAAAAGTAAAGTGAGAGAAAAAAGAAAAAAGAAAAAAAGCAGCCACGGGAAGTATGCGCGCAAAGAGACTCCTCCCATGGTAGCTTCCAGATCGGTAGAGCCCATGTTGACTTTCCGCCCGTTATTCAAGGACAGAACGTCTCGCAACCTGACTGCGGTCGAGACGCGAGAAATAGGGCAAGGTAGATTGAGACGCCTAATCAGATTCTCAGAGCCTTATGGGACTCTGTGACCACTTCCTATCAGCGCAAGAGGCTGTCCCTTATTACCAGAGTAGAGACGACAGTGACGATCCAAGGACGCTCGATCTCGCTAATCCTACCAAGGGAGCCCCGACACCCAAGTTGAGAGTGCCCCTATATCGGCGATGATTCGGGGATCAATTCTGAGTTCTCCTCGGGAATTTTTGCTCCAGGCAGAGTGTATTTGCAGTTGTGCCGTGAACTTGTAGGTGTATGGGTTTGTGCGCGTGCGCTAATGGTCAAAAGCGCATCGCCCAGCCTCACCAGATAGCCATGCTCTCTTTCGTGTATGATCTTGAATTGAACCGGAACTGCATCTATCTACAACTTTTGGTTCGCCCGCCGGTCCTACGCAAGCCAGAAAGTAATGACGCAAATCAGGGCGTCACATACTCACCCTTTATGCTTACATTTCCGGCGTTTAATCCCCAACGGCCCAGCAGCCACAACTGCCCTCAAGGAATATCAAACAAGGGCTTTAGCTTTTTGATCAGCAGCCACTCCTCATTTGACACATCCGACCGGTAGAACTCCTTGAGCACATCGATACTCTTTCTCGAGATGAGGGAGTACAGTGTGTCTTTCTCTTCAAGTTGTCTACCGTATGTAGGCTGGTGGCCACCCATCTCGATCTTGACAGCGACGGATGGTTGTCCCTTCTTGCAGATCTGGATCTGCTTGTGATCACGCTCAATGCTCGTACTAGGAGTATGTCAGCAGCGTGTCTACCACAAATTCAAGGGGATCCTACACTCTTCCGATGGCGACGATCTCCTTGGCATTAGTAACTGCGTTTTGTCTGACGGCAGCAATAGGTGTGTGCATTCGGAGATTGCCTTCGGCAACATCAACACCCACAATAATAGGGCCCGTCTTGTTGAACACAGCGACTGTGGACAGAACACAAGGGAAAACTGCGTCAAGCTTGGAATCCTCCTTCCTCTTCTCAGCGATAGCAGCCATGTGCGCAGTGAACTGGTCGAAGAGATGGTAGATGATATCTGCAGTAAAGATCTTGATACCAACTTCATCGGCATAAGATTGGGCCTCCTTATCAATCTTAACATCGAAGCAAAGCATGACGGCGAACTCCTTGTTCTTTTCGAGCATGATTCCACAGTTCATAACATCGCGCTTGAAGACTGGACCGATCCCAACGTTGGCTACGGGAATCTTGGATACTTTCAAGAAATCGAGAAGGGCCTCAAGCGATCCGAGGGTGGATGCCTGCACGGTAACACCCTTGCCCGATTTCTCGACACGCTTGAAGAGAGCTCCGAGATCAGACAGTACCTCCTCCTCGATGTCAGACTCGTCGTCATCAGGACCAACAACCATCAATCTCGAACCAGCAATGGCGCCTTCGAGGCCTGGCGCACTAATCTTGACACCGAGAGCGGCCTTGACCTCCTTGTTGTGGACGTATTGTGACTTCAGACGTAATTCTTTCATTGCCGCAGGGGTTAGTAGAGCTCGGATATTTGTTGTAATCGCACCCTCCACTCCACAGAGCACGATTCGGTCGCCTTCTCTAAGGATTCCGTTTGACAGAATAACATCGATTGTCATGCCGAAACCTTCGATTGCCTTGACTTCCAGAACCGTTGCCTGAACTTCGGAGAGATACATGAGAGACCCAACCATTCTCTCCTGAGTGAGTTGAAGAATCAACTTGAGCATGTCGGGGATACCCTCACCAGTGTGAGCAGATGTTGGCACTAAGGAGACAAATTTGGCCATGGACTTATTCTCATAGTATAGCTCAGAGTTAAACCCTTGCTCCGCAAAGGCGACTTTGGTATCGGTTAAGCGTTTGGCAAATTCGTTCTGGACGCCCTTGTTCTGCAAGGCCAAGCTCTCTTGGAAACCATTGTTGTCAACCTTTTTCCAGCCGTACAGACGATCAATCTTGTTGAGCGCAACAATGAAGGGAGTCTTTCTGTCACGGAGTAGTTTCATAGATTCTAAGGTCTGCGGTTCCAGTCCGTGCATGATATCGACAACCAGAATGGCGATGTTACAGAGAGAGGATCCACGGGATCTCAAATTTGAGAAAGACTCGTGACCAGGGGTATCGATGATCAGTAGTCCGGGTACCTTGAACTCGAAGTTGTTGTCACGGTTGACAACCTGGGTTTTCTGTCGGATTGCCTCAACAGGAAAATAAGTTGCACCTATCTGTTGGGTGATACCTCCTGCTTCTCCTTCTTGAACATTGGTTTGTCGGATTTTGTCGAGCAATTTCGTCTTTCCGGTATCGACGTGTCCGAGAATACAGCAGATAGGGGATCGAAGGTTGTCTGCAGAACGAGCTGCCATAGCTGCTGCGTGTGCCTGCTCACGTCTCTCATGGGCCTCTCTCTTCTTCTGCAAGGCAGCAGCTTGAGCGGCTGTGGCTTCTTCGTCCTCTGAAGACTCCTCGTCCTCGGAATCGGACTGCGACTCGGATTCAGACTCCTGAGATTTCTTCCCACGCGAAGGAAGAGACTTGGACTCGGCAGCAGCAGCTTTCTTAGCAGCGGCTTTCTCTCGCTCTTCCTCGGAATCGGCGTCCCAGTCATCTTTCACATCGTCCTCAGACTCAGCAGCGGCAACTTCCCAGTCTTCATCCAGCTCACTTTCTTCATCCTTCTTGGCAGCAGCAGCCTCTGCAGCTTCCTTTTCAGCCTTTGCAGCAGCTTCTGCAAGCTTCTTCTCGGCTTCGTTTCGTGCTCGCTCGGCAGCCTCGGCGAGTGCCTTTTCCTCTTCCAGCTGTACAAAGTTAGTAAAACTTGAACTGTGACGCGACTCAAATTTTTACCTTCGCTTCTTCAGGGTTTTTGCGTCCGCCCTTCTTTCTCTTGTCATAGACAGCTTTCTTCTTCTCCCCCCCATCAGGACCGCCAACCTTGACACCTGCCGCAATCATCTGCTTTAACTTCATTTCATTCCGCAACTTCTCCTCCCTCTGGGCTTTAGTAAGATATGTGCCATCTTTCTTCTGCTGCTCTATTCGTTCCTTTTCTCTCTGCTTTTTCAAAGCTTTAGCCTCCTCTCTTCGCTTCTCCTCTTCTGCTTCGAGTCTCTCCTCCTCCTCGATGCGAGCCTTCTCCTCTGCCGCAATTCTGGCCCTATCTTCCTCACGCCTCCTCAGCTCCTCTTGTTGAGCCTGGAGCTTGGCTAGAGCGGCAGGGAGCTTCTTGCCTTTTCCACCGGCCGGGGCTTTGGCTGTTGTCATCGGCTCTTCTACCTTCGCATCGGGAGTTGACCTGGCAGCTTCGGGGACCTTGGCGGCAGCAGCACCAGGAGTCTTCTTTTTCGCAGCCTGTACATACAGCTATTAGAATATTCCAAGGAAGTGGCACGACTTTAAACTCACGTTCTCCTTCTTTCTTTGCTTCTCGCGCTCCTTCTTCAACTTTTCCTTTTGCGCCTTTGTGAGCACCTTGCCGTCAACTCCTCTCTCATCGTCCTCGTCCTCATTCGCACCCTTGGCCGGCGCAGCCTTTCCCTTCCCCTTCTTATCCGGCAATGCGAATTCATCCTCTATGGAAGCCTCCACAGCAGCCTTTTCGATCAGATCGGCCTCTTCAGCAGCAGGGACCTTGCCTTCGGCAGGATCGTCTTGCTGCCCAGCCTTCTTCTTCTTGTTGCGCTTCCGCATCATGGCCATCAGCCCACCTGCCGGGAATTCCTCCTCGGCGTCTACCTCGGCGGGCGGCGCATCGATGGGGTCCTGCTTCTGTGGGGGGGTGGCAACTGGTTCGCCCAGCTCGGACTCCCAGTCGTCGGCCTTCTTGTTATTCTTCTTCTTTGGCGGCATGGTGAGATTTGAGTTGTAGAGTCGAGAGACTGGTATTTGTTGCAGGGTGTGCGGGGGTAGGAGGGGGTAAGAACTTCTTGTACTTGGTGTGTGAATAGAGAGATCGAATTGGGCTAAGCCGTACGACTCAAGCTATGAGTGCGTGGGTGAATGAGTGATCGATTGCTCCAAGATCCGAAGAGCTCGACAGTTGGACAAGCGCAGGGCTTGCTGGGTGGCTGACTACCTTAGGATTTTGATATCATTCATTTATTCCCTGTGTTGGACGAAAGAGATGTTTGTTGTGGTGTTGGGCGCTGTCCCTCACTGCCCCACCCCGCTCCCAGCTCGCTACGCCCGGACCTTAGGATGACCCGACCCGATCTAGTGGACTTTTTGTCTTGGTGTTTACCGGAAGCACTTTGTTGACTTATTCCTATACTACTCCGTACTTCTCTGTGAACTGTGGAAGACAAGCTTAATGAACTTGTCCAACCAGATTAATCATTATGCGCTTAAGAGTTGGACAGCGGATATTTCTTATCAAGCATTGTTTAGAATAGGTGGGCTAAGGAAATGCTGATCAACTACGTTTATAGCTCTGAAGAGGCTCTCAAGTTCCGAGTCACCCAGAGAGAGTCCATACTTATATCTACATAGCAGTGCCCAACCACGGCAGCTCTCGTTATTGATGTACACACCAAGCATCGGGCCCACCCAATTCCCATCCCATCAACTGTGTTCCTCCCGACTATAACCTAGAGCAGAATCGAGGTGCCAGCCTACAAAACATCCACTGCTTATACCACCGGTCGAAGGTAATACTCCATGTCTGAGTATGCCTGGCCGATGTAGGCCGAGGGCGTGGCATCCTTCTCCAAACTTCCATTGTGTACGTCTTGGAGAAGAGCTACGAACCTCTTCAACAAGCGCTTTGATTCTTCTGTCTCTGATTCGAGGAGCAGAAGCTTGTCCAGAGCCCGGTTATTCACACACTTCTTCAGCAGATCGCCATCGATATGCATCATGACCTTGGGCTCAGTCGTAGTATCCACAGGCATCGGATCATCCTTGTACGTGAACTCGCAGATTTCAGAGGATCTAAGGCACAAGTCTACAATGAATCTCAACAGCCTCCATGTTTTGAACTCGAGGATGGCAAAATGGCTGAGTGATCCGGAGATAGATAGTCCGAGTACTTCACGGTCGTCCACGTCGAAATTTGGCAATGTTTGAGGTTGCGATCCATATCTCATAGGTGTCTGCCGCTGCTTCCAGATAGGGTCCCATACGGGCCGACATTGCGCAAATCGAAACCGTAATATCGAGAACGGCAGGGCTGCCTCAAATACCGGCTCCAGGGTATCGGCTTTGGTATTATAAGTCGACCAGAGTCCGGCGACGGAAGATAGTTTGTCTGAGACTAGGTGTATCGTAGGTTGAGAAGAACTGCTCACTGCCAAGTGATGTAGTGAATCGCGGGCAAGCTGGTCACCATGCGTACGCTCAAGTTGGAATCCACCGGCGGTGTCAGAGAGCAGTTTGAATATTTCTAAAGAGTGACAACTGGTAAGCGCATATATTGTTTCGTTTTCGTAAGATAGATTTATGGCAGGTGATGGAAGGTCACATTCCGCAACGCGCCTGAATTTCTTCTTGCCCACGTCGAGAACATCGTAGAAAAGTTTACGACCTGCGCCCCAAAGCAGACCATCTGGAAGCCCCGTTGCGGAGTAGACTGGCTCATGGTGCTTGAATATGTGACGGATAGAGTAACATATTCTCCTCTTAGAAGTTGCCCCTTTTGGTAGGGAGGCGGCGAGGGTCTGGTTCTCTTCGTGTATTGATATGATAAGAAGCCGTCCTGTACTGGTCGATACAATGACAAACTTCCAGGTCCTGCTGTCTTTCGTGTATGACCACTCGAACAGTCTGAAAATCTTTTCATTAAAATTTCCCAGCCCGGGGATGAAGTCCACAGGGTCTTTGGTCTTTTCCTCCAAGGGTCTGGAGATATCATCTCCGCTGTCAGGGTCAATGAAAAGAATTGTTGACTTGCCACCTACCGTCGCTGCAACAACAAGGACGTCCAAATCATGAGAGTACATCAGGCGATTTGGAGTCCCACCTACAGCCAGGTGTCGAGTGACAGGCTTAACCTGAGCGCTCAGACCGGTTATCAGCAATCGAGAGCCAGAAATCACAAGGAGGCTGCCACAGGTGCCCCCGGTAAGAGGCCGCATACTCGCAAGAGACGTAACAGTAGGCTGCTGAAGACCTGGCCTCAAGGCGTCAGTCAGCCATATTTGGTTGATCTCTAAAGCTTGAGTGTATCGCCCGGATATTACTCCTCGAGTTTGGCTTATCCTGGGTGTCAGAACATAGCCTTTTGAGTCGCAATCCACGAACAGCGCGGAACCTAAATCAGAGGATTCTGATTTGCTAACAATAGCAGACGTGGCCCCTATAAGCTTGACATGCGTTGGAACGATCGCGAACGTTGTTTTGTTGATCTCAAAAACAACTACGAAGCCATTCCGAGTACCACAGATTAGCAAGACGACGTCAAGGCCAACCTCTGTCGGCAGCAACGACATGCTAACGATCGAATCGATGCAATCCAAATTGTTTTCATACCGATGTGTGAGAACGGACTGCGTGAGGAGACTACCGGTTGTAGGTTGAAATGTCAGAGTGATAGGATCCGGCTTTCTTCCGCTAGCCACAACGGCGAATAAAGCTCCCCCTATTTGCCCGGCGGAAATGCTCGTGACATCATACGGAAGTTGTCCTATTGTGTGGGGAGTAGCACTGTCAATTTCCATGTCACTCGTCAGGAACTGGAGATCCAGGACTTGAAGATAGCTGAAGTTATCGACATCTTCAAGGCGAGTCGTGAACAAAACGAAACTCTCGCTGACCGTCGCGTGATCGATCTTAGACTCGCAGACAGCTTCTTTGCTGTGAACTTTGAGCATTTCGTGTACCTGATATATGTGGCTGTCTTTTAGTTAGTACAATAATTTGTTTTGACTGACCATCTCAACCTACTTTGTGGAGCCATCCGTGACCACGATTGACTTTTCCGTCACTTGGACGATGAAATTTCCTCTTGTGACAGCCAGAATGGTCCGATGACCTAGATCAAGGTTCGTTTCGCTCTCATCCAAATCCACAATTTCAACCGCGTCAGCCGACATTTTCAGCACCCCAGAACGATCTCCCATTGACAGGAGGAATAGATAAGGAGTAGTTGGATTTGTACGGTCGGGGTTTGGGGACAGTGCCCAGGCGTACATGATAGTAGCATCGTATTCCACTTCCAGGCCAATGCTGGCCTCATGCCCATGCCTGAGTTCGGTGATGCCCCCTCTGGCTCCTTTGCCCACGCAAGTGAATATGCGATCTGGTTTAGGAACAATATCCGTTTTCCTCATGAGTCCCGCTGCATTGGAGCTTGGATTCTGGACCCGAGGATTGTGAGTGGTCACAAAATCATGGGCAGGGGACCAATTTTGAATGGGCTCTGTCAGGACTGGGAGTTTCCTTGCTTGGAGCTGGTTGTGTGGTGGTCAGTACGGGTAATGTATTCGAATACTTATATACAAGATTCAAAAGGCGATTCAAAAGGCGATGGGTGAGCACTAACCAAATATGTCCCCCCCGGACAGGAATCTCCCCCCATTATGAATAGATCACCACTTTTGCGATTCTTGTTGGGATAGTCAAGAGTAGCTAAGGCCGTTCCACAATTCGCTTCGAATTCGCCAATGTTGTGGTCAGCGGTAACAACATCGTCATCTTCAGAATCGATTTCAAGGAACTTGATCAACCCATCTTCTCGCGCAATGAATAGATCGTCACGAGTTGCCTTGTGACGCTCCAACCGTGAAGGCCGGGTCCAGGCCGTCCACAACGGGTTCTCTGAGCCGTGATGGAAGGCTGTTGGTTTGTCGATTCTGTTATTGAAGTCGATGAATTTAGGGTTTCCATGGAGAATGCCCTGGCATACCGCCATGGAATCCTCATATACAAGAATGAATGACGACTTGATCGTCAAAGGGATAAGCAGGAGTGGCATCTGACGCGCTTTCTCCAGCAGGTAACCCTTGGAACTCCGGGGGGTGACCTTCTTGAGATCGCTTCCCGTGGCCCATTCATAGATAAGCATTCGTGTTCTGCCCTTGATGACCATCAGAACGAGCAGGATGATATGCTCTTCATCGTCAGCGGCCGGATGCAAGAATTCCATCTTCAAAATGACACCGTTGAAGTAGTGTTGCGTCTCACTTTCAACGAATCGGAGAGGGGAGCCTTCCAGATACTGTTCTTGCAAAGTTTCTCTGGACTGTAAGGAATAGATTGCAAAGACGCCTTCGGAACAACCCACGGCCATATATCTCGAACTCGGATCTACGGCAAGATGCATACCTGGTTGTAATCTAAGCATCGGTTTCGATACTCGATACCTGGTTGAGACAAAATCGAGCTTCCCGTTCTCTGATCGGTTGAGCATCAAGAATCCCAAGTCTCCGGTGTCTAATTGGAGCAACAAGAATTGGGGAGGGAGTCGGTTTCCAGATAAAGACGACGGTACAGTCTCACCACCAGTCATTTGGGCATCCTCATCTCCATCTTCAGTCTTGATCTTGGTAAAGGCAAGGACATCAGGGTCCTTTTCATATGCTTTGACTGACCCGACCACCAGGGCATTTCGTATGCGAGCACCGAAGTCTTCTTTCCGGATCACGTCCCAGAGGAGGCCATCCGATCGTAGTTCCTTGATCTGGACGAAGTCATCCTGTTGAAGTTAGCTGCCGAGTCTCGAGATAATCGGAGAGGAAAGCTTCGCATTGCCGGCCAAGGCATCCAGCCGCAGCAGAGCCACAGAGAAAGGCAACAAAAGAAGCAACCGCAAGCAGTGATAAGAAGAAAAGACAAACAGTAGAGGGCGCCAAGCAAAAGCCAGTAGTTAACAAAGCTGGGAAAAAAAAAAAAAATCTTACGCCGACGAAAGCTACATCGTGAGTCTTGTCGTCTCTTAGCCTTATGGGAAGGACCCAGTGTACCAGAGGACTCCGGATAACAGTCTGGGTAAGCAGTCCCAGTTTCGGGGCTCTTTCAACTTCTGTAAAGGCAGCGGCAGCATCTTTGTCTTGCTGATCGTAGTGCCGGAGTACGGTGTTGAGATCAAGAGTTCTGGTGACCCATTCGCCGTCCACCAGGCTGTTGGTTGTGAGAGCCATTCTGGCAAGAGCCGGGTCGGCCGGGCTTGGTCAGTCTGATGCCATCCAGTAGGTCACGGTACTGTGATCCTTTTCAAGAATGGTTCCACGCGACCTCCAGCTGGACTGACTGCTGGCTGGCTGGCTGGCTGGCTTGCTGACTGACTGAGCACCTTGGCCAGCAGATCGTACCAGAGCGACAGCAGAATGTCAATAGTCCTGCTGGCCTTGTTAATAAGTATTATGGCGGGTGGGGTAGAGTTTGGGGAGGGCAGTAGTAATTTAGGTTACCTTATTTAATTAATTAGTAAGGACGATAGGCATCTAGGGACTTGCACTTGAGTGAAGGAGGCAGTGGCAGTCTAGCTAGGTTGGCAGCCTTGCCCGAGAGGTGTGGTTGTCGCAAGGTAAGGCAAGGTAAGGCAAGGGAAGGCAAGCTAAGGCAAGGGAAGGGTTAGGAAGAAGTATGTGTTTCTGCTGCGTTCGGGGGTTGAGAAAGAGCACATCAGAGTGCTTGTGGTAGGCAAAGAAAAAAAGAAAAAAAAAAAGGAGGCAGGTCAGTCAACAATAGCAGAGGAGAGGGAGGGGAGGACGAGAGAAGAGATGAAAAGGGAAGAGACGAGGGGAGTTAGGTAGGTAGGTAGGTAGGTAGGTAGGCTTGCGATAGTGAGAGAGAGAGAGAGAGAGAGAGACATAGTTCGATAGATCACTTTTATGACTTTGTTCAATGGCATGCTCGTCTTTACCCTCCCTCATCCTTAGCCTCATTCTCTCCACCCTTGGTTTTGTCTTGCTCCTCCTCCTCCTCCTCCTCCTCTCCCTTCTCCTCCTCCTCCTCCTCCTCCACCACCACCTACTACTACTACCAATACTACTTACTACCGTACATGCACCAGAGTGCATCTGCATCTGCTGCTGCATCTCTGCATCTCTGCGTCTCTGCATCTCTGCATCTCTGCATAAAGTATCTGCAGCTGCACGCCAGGGCATTTGTCCAGGGCTAGCGTTGGAGCCTAACGGCCTAACGATCCTTACCATTCGTCAAACATTCCAGGTCTGAGACTACCTACCTACCTCCCTCCCTACTTCTCCATCCACATCCACATCCACTTCCACATCCACTCCCACATCCACATCCACTCCCACATCCCACCCCCACGCAAACGACTGCCTGACTGCCCTGGTATGCGCAGAGCAGAGCAGCATGTTCTTCTGAAATGATCTGAAATGGAGTCCAGTGGGCACGACATCGAGAAAACAACACCGAAGAGCAGCCCCAATCCCGATCCCAATCCCAGCGCCCGCCCAGGGGAAAAGGCTCGCGCCGCAAAGGCCGCGAAGATCCTCGATGCTTGTAGATGGAAGGATTTCGAGGCGCTGAGAAAACTCGCAGCATCTGAGGGGGGCCTCGTCTCGGACGAGATTCGATGTCAGGCATGTTCGTGTCCCCAAGGAAGAGGGGAAAGGGAGAGGGGAGAGGACGAGAGAGAGAGAGAGACACAGAGAGAGCGTCCTTGGTCCTTGGTCCTTGGACGCACAACAAGCAAGCAGCTGACTGTCTTGTCAGGGCCGCTTCTCCTTGGCTGCAAGCACCCCGCCGGCGATACAAAGCAGGAGACGAACGACAGAGAATGGAGACAGCTGCCCAGGCATCGTGACGAGGACCAGGTGCAGCTCGACGTGGACCGCTCCTTCATATACTATCCCCGCCGTAGGTTACCGACAGCTACCAACCTACCTACCTACCCACCACGATTTTCCAGGGTCACATTGTACACAGAGCAGCGCTGATACCCCTGACTCGCATAGATCAAAGCCCTCGAGACCTGCTCCACCGGAAAGAAGAGCTGTCTGATCTCATAACAGAAGTCTTGCGGCGTCAGCCATACCTCTCGTACTTCCAGGGCTATCATGACATATGCCAGGTGTTCCTCCTAGTCCTTGAATCACAGAACCGTGCAGCCGCCGTGGCACGTCTTTCGGCGCTGCGGATAAGAGATTTTATGCTACCTACATTCGCCCAAGCACTGACCCAATTGCAACTGATCCCAGAAATAATTAGTACGGTCAACCCTAGGCTACGGCACCATCTGTCCTTGACCCAGCCGTTCTTTGCGCTATCAGGGACCCTCACTATGTACGCGCACGATATTCAGGAGTACGGAGATATATCACGACTGTTCGATGTCCTGCTCGCCCGAGAGGCAGTATTTTCCGTCTACATGTTCGCCCAGATCGTTCTGCAGCGTTCAGATGAGCTCTTTGAGACCCCGGCCGATGAGCCTGAGATGCTTCACTCGATCCTCTCTAAGCTCCCCAAACCCCTGAACATCGAGTCACTGATTGCAAACACAATCCAGCTGTTCGAAAATCATCCGCCGGAGAGCCTGGGGCTGTGGCGGTCAATATCGAGATCCAGCGTGTTGAAGACTGCTCGGTGGCACGAGCAGTTGACGGGCCAGAGCTTGAAAGACGGGGAGATGTACTTTAGAAAGCAGTCGAAGGAATTGCAATGGGCTGAGCGGCGCAAGTCAGTTTTCCAGGCTCTGTGGAAATACAGGAGATCTGCTGCTGGTACGATGGGGCTAGCGGTGCTTGTTGGCATCGTCTCGTTCTGGCTTAACAAGTCATCTGGGCCATCTGGACTTTTTGGGACGCTATGGAAGCAGATCTTGGATTACAGGCGACATTGAAGGAAAGATACCATTCGATACCTGGTGTGGAACCCCCAGGACATGTAGTTCTGAATTGTAGCTGTGCAGTACAAACAAGCTCCACGAGACGTCAACGGGCGACCTCCCCAAATGCTGATTTAAGACCCTGCAAATGCTCCTGCTGTTCCAATGCGAGCTTGCCCTCGACATCCCCAACAATCGTGAGAATGAGAGAGTAGTTATTGTAGAGAAATCTTTCCCTCTTCCTCGCGTCCCCAATGGCCTTGCTCGTCTTCGTTAAGAATGCCTCAATCTCACTTCTCAATCTCATCAGACTGGCCGAGACTGGCTCGTCGTCTCCAGCCTCTGTACTCAAGGATAGTATCCCTGCCATGAACTGGCCAAATCGCTGGGTCATGAAATGAGGCGCTGCCGACTGTCTCGCTTGCTCGGAGGCCGAAGGTTTCCGTGTCGACACTCCGTTTGTGACGGTTCGAACCGATTCGCAATGCTGATCCATAATGACTTGGAATCGAGGCCAGAGAAGCATATTGGTGCCGTTGATATATCCATCGACGGCGGGTATCTTACGACGCTGGAGCTCGAACGCGAAGTGCTGATTTAACCTCACGCATAGAAGAAGGCCCAAGCAGTCAAAAGTTTCGTGGATCAGAGATTTGGTCAGGTTGTTACCAAGGGAAAACGTCGGTTCAAAGATGTAGTTGAAGTGCCGGGATATAGCTGCGTAAGACAACGAAGGCGCGAAGAAAGCGGTCAGAAAGGAATACTCTGCCGAGGCGTTGTCGACGAGGGCAAGATTGAAGTTTCGAAACACAACTTCCATGTAGTGGGTAGACTTCTCTTCCTCGGCAAGGAAGGAAGAAAGAGCCGTTTGGTTCGACGTTCTCAGCATATCGATCCGCCGTCCTAGATTGAAGGCATCGTGGGAAGCAGTTGGCTTGGCGCTGGAAAGAAGGTTGGATTTCCGAGACCCATCATCCCCTCCAAGCACATCATGCTTGTCTATTGCGTGGAGCTTGATCTTCTCGAGTGCTTTGACATACCGGGTGAACTGGTTCAAAAAGTACCAGCGCATTGTGTTCATGTAAGCCTGGCCTATCTGCTCCGCCAGCTGAGGATGATGTTTGTACAGAAAGGCATAGAGATCTTTGTATTTGATCAAATTTTGCTGTTGTATGATCTGGGCGTTGATGTTGGGTGACCGCAAAGATTTGATCTGGGCTACCATGAAGTCCCTGATTCTTTCCAGGGCCTGTGGAGTGTCAGCGGGTTGGTTGCTAGGTAGACGTTGAACAAAAACTCCTACCTTGTCAATGAGATTCCCCAGCAGAGGCTCCAGATCCTTAATGCCTTTGATGTTTCGATTTTCCTTGGACTTGAGGTCCATGGCCTTGGATCGCTTCTCGACCTCGGCCAATGCTCTGACCCAGGCTTCATCGATGGCGCCCTCGACAATTTTCCTCACTACAGCGGGCGACACACTGATTTCTTCGACTATTGGGCCGAGGCCATTCTCCACGATCTTTCGGTTTTCTAGCCTGACGCTGAGTGCGGTTGATCGAGCCTGCAATGTCTCAATCTCGGCCGATACTGCGGCAAGATCATTCCGAAAACTTGTCAGATTCATCTCGACAGAATTCAATACATCGTCGCAGTCACGGATGGAATGGTGGAGATGTTCAAATTTAGCTTCATCCTGTTCGACTGACAACGGGATCAGCACAGGGTGGGTGAGTGCATGAGCGAGCGAGCGGGCTCCTCTACTCTGGACTGAAACCTACACTCTTCAACGGTTCGGGTGGGGGGGTGCAGCAGCTCCTCCTCTGAATATGGGCTTTGCGGTGCCAACAATTCGCGCAGACTCCGACCCTCGAAATCCAACTCGCTCTCCCACTCCCACTCATGCGCATATGTATCGCCAACAGCGTCTTTCCCCAGGTGATCCTGAGCCTGGGCCTGGACCAGATCCAGTTCAGGTGCTTCGGAGCCCAGGAGAATGTCGAGCACAGTCAAAGGGTCTGTTGCACCGGGGGCCTTCTGCGAGTTCTTCAGGGCCGACCCATTTGGTCTGCGGGCCGATGCTAGCAATGATGTTGTCGAGTCGCTGGAGTGTATGGAAAGGGATGATGAGCGCGGATTAAATACGGGTCTTGTTGGAACGGCAGAAGCTGGAGCAGGCCCAAGGTGACTTGGTCGCCGCGGTATGGGCGAAAACGACATGCCTGAGTGGGTGGTGGTGGGTGGAAGGTCGACGAGGTCCCTCTTTGCTTTTTCGCTTTTTCGCTTTTTCGCTTTTCCCCTTTTCCCCTTTCTTCCCTTTCTTCTTCTCCCTATCCTCTTTTTCGATTGTTGCTTCCTTTCTTTCCCTCCCTTTGGCCTTTTTGTTTGTTTTCTCTCCGTTCCGTTCCCTTTCGAGCTCGGGCAGGGCAGGGCAAGACGGGTGAAAGAAGGCGGGCGACGAGGCTACGGTCTGACCGGCCTGGGGGTGTCGGTGTCTCTTCTGTCTGACCAGGGACGGTACGGGTCCCGACGGTACCGGTACTCTTCCTACTACGTACGTCTTGGACTCTTGGACCTAACTCCTTAGGTAAGGAGTCGAGCCTTACTTACCTAATACAAGGACTTATTTCCAAACTCACCTGATTGGTCCCCTCCCCACCAACTCCCATTTAGCTGCCCCACCCACAGCTCACAGTTTTCGCTTCGCTTCGCTTCACTCCAGATGCCCCTCCCATCCCATTTTCTCCAAAAAGATCGCATCCTTCTCCAAACTTTCTTCCCTTTGGTCCCTCGCGCATCACCACAACCACACCACACAACCCACCACACATTCACGCCCATCTCCATCTCCATCCTTACTTCGCACCCTCAGTCACCATGGCGGACGATGCCCAGGTAAGTCGCAGATAGGCCGCAGTTATCCAGCTCCAGCATAGAATCACCCCGCACACACTCCCCGCCCCGCTATGCCATCGGCGCATTCAAGGTGGAAAGGTAGGAAGGAGGGGGTCGCCGTCGACTCGAGTGGACTCGGTTCGAATCAAATCAATTCGAGTCGCACATCAAATCACTTAACATCATGACCGGACATATCACCCTTCTTCCTTCACCTCGAACCCCCCCCCCCAATTTCAAAACACAAGACCTTCAAGACACGCCAGAACTCTGCTGACCCTTTCTCGTCTGCCCGCAGCATGAGCACACCTTCGACTCCGCCGATGCCGGTGCCTCTGCCACTTTTCCTATGCAGTGCTCGGCCTTGAGAAAGAACGGCTTTGTCGTCATCAAGAACCGCCCTTGCAAGATCGTCGACATGTCTACATCCAAGACTGGCAAGCACGGTCACGCCAAGGTCCATCTCGTCGCCATCGATATCTTCACCGGCAAGAAGCTCGAAGAACTCTGCCCTTCCACTCACAACATGGATGTTCCCAACGTCACCCGAAAGGAATACCAGCTGGTGAGTAAAAGAAGAAATGGATTTATATTCCATAGACACCCTGCAATCAAGCGCTCATGAGAAAAGAAACAGTGCTGACGTATAGTAGCTCGATGTCTCCGATGACGGTTTCCTTTCCTTGATGGCGGATGACGGTGAGACCAGAGATGATGTCAGTGTCCCAGACGGAGAGGTTGGTGACAAGATCATCAAGCTGTTCCAGACCGAGGAGAAGGATACCAGTCCGTTTTGTCCCCCCCCTCCCCCGTTTACTACACCTCTCTGACGACCCTCCAGATGTTATCGTCCTTACTGCCATGGGTGAACAGCTTGCAATTGAAGCCAAGGAAGCTCCCCGCGGTTAATCTACTGAGACCGTACTTCGACTTCGACTTCGACCTCGTTGCTAGCAATGGCATACCCTCTCTTGTCTGTCGGCTGGTTTGGCTCTGGGATGCTCAATCATGGAATAATCTCGAGGCTTGAAATCTGCAGTCTAATGGTCGTTGCGTCGGAGGATATCTGGACACTTAAGATCACACTGGTTTTACTTTCCTCGGGCTTTGCAAAACATCATCTTCCTTTTGTCCTTGATCGGTGCTACTTGACAATTTTTGGCCAGCGAGTCATACAGTGGAGGACTGGTATGTGGCGACAACTATCCGTAGAAATCGATGGTTTTACGGCGTGCAATTGGCGGCCTCTTCTTGCTTCATCCGTGACTCGGAAGTTTAGCCTCTCCTTAACCTCATTCCGTTTTGGAGAGCCCTCTATTCCCCTCAATAATCGAAGAGTCGCTTCGAAGAAGTGCTACTGGAGCGTCTTACGCGCCATCTTCACGGGTCAAGCTCCATAGACTAGCGTGACATGGGAAGTTTTTCCACATACAACTCCACAAGAGATAGGTTGATGGGATGGGTCGAAAAACCTGCTATATTGTAGATTGTGGGCGGTTTTGAATATAAAGCAGGACTTCTGAGAAGTGCTCGTCGTTCAGAGGCATATTATAGAGGTCACGGCAACATTTTGCTTTGTGTGACGACACAACGGCTGGAAGTGGTGAGTATTTGCCCTCTGTCTAAGAGTTTGGGTTTGATAACGCTGGTGTTTGAGGGTATGGAGGCTGACGTGTAAATACTCGATAACTGGTTTTTTTTTTGGCATGTTCTCCCAAGTGACCAAATCGCTAGACTGGGCACCCAAAGTCATTGCAAACCTCCCGGGCCGTCAATCCGACTTCGCAGCTTCCCTTCTCCTCTCGCCAAGCCTCAAATTTTCCAACTTTACCTCAAGTCGGAAAACGTATTTTACCAGCATCCTCAAGGTTATCCCGGCTTTCGAGGCTTTAAGAAGTCAGCGTTGCGTCCCTCAAGGGCTTAGACCAAATTACCAGCCAACTGGAAGAATAGCCTCGCTGGCCCTGGGAGTTCATCTTCTGTTCGAAACCGCTTGTACAGCTCGCCAGCCCGCCGAATACCCTCGACATCTTCGTTCTCGTCAATGGTATGGGGACTCTGGCAGATAAGACTTCGCTGTACAGCCTTCAGACGCGCTACCTGTCGCTCTGTTTCTGTGTCTTCTTCCACCGGCCGCGGGGATATGTCGTCGAGTGGGAAGAGCTGGAGGATTTGCCCCGGGACTGGGACTACCGTTAGCAGAAACCGAGACAGGATATGAGTTTTGTGTGAGCCTACACTTCTGCTCTCGATCATCAATCCACGTGTTCTGATACCAATCCAGGTAATCGTCCAGCTTCTCAGCGTTCATGTTCCAAACGTCAGTATCCGTGACCATGATCTCATCGCCTCTTTTGAACCCTTTTTGGGGCTCGTTGGTAGCGGTGGCCTTAGTCCAACTTGCCCAATCTATCCTGACAGCTGATGGGTCGGAGTAGCTCTCTGGAGCCCGCGCAATGTTATCGAATGGATGTGCTAGCTTGGTGGCTATCACGACTAAGCTAGCAAGTTGTATCTCTGGGTAGGCATTGAATCTGTATGACTTCCTACGCTGAGCAGGATAAGAGAAGTCTATCTCGAGCAGTGTTGCTAAGCGACGAACAGCAGCGTATATTTCAACTGAAAACGGTCAGTCGACAAATTCGGGGTTGAATTCGATTCACGGACCTGGGAGACATAGATCCCTCAGGTATCTGAATATGAGCAATGGGGCGTTCAGACTCGGAAAGCTCATCGCAAACTCTGAATTATAAAACTCGATCAGTTCCAATACAGAGTCGTGAAGAGCGGATCCCCGCAATGGAGCCCTGATCTCAAGTGCTGAATGGTAATGTGCAGGCAATTTGGATCTCATATCTCTCGGCACCTCTTTGATCTGTTCTAAGGTTGGCATGTGGTCTGTCAAAGCTGCATGATGCACTTACTGCCCGATTGTACGGAATCCCATCCTGAGTAGCCCACTTGTAAATGTCTCCTAGTCCGAGGGGCATCTTGAGAAGTAAAATCCCCAAGTAACATAAACCAAGAGTTTCGATCAACGTCGGAAGTAGTTCCTCCGTCCCAAGGCCTTTCCTACGTCTCCGCGACCCATGACCTCGCCGCGTAGTAGCATCGGTATCTGTGGTCTCCCCTTCACTCTGCGAGCTGAACATCATCGTGCCAGTCCCAGAGCCATAGCCGCTCCTATCGTCCCTGGAAATATGAATGACTCTAGTCCTCAGTTCCCACAGGTCTTTTACCACGACCTGCAGCTCCTCCGGCAGACCCCGAGACGTGACCAGCCAATGGCATTGCTTCCACAGAATCAGCTGGTAGCATTGCAAATACAACTCTTTGGCTTCACTGCCGCTGAGGACAGTCTCTGCACGTTCTTTTTTCTCTTTCTTACTGCGTGACTTTTTCCCCTCGGTATTCCATTCGTCTTCGCCTTGCTCAACTTGTGTAAATCCCTTGTAGAAATCAGCGAGCGATGTCGAGTATAGTGTATATGCGAAAACTCACGAATTGCTCGTGCCCCCTTCGACAGAATTTCTTGCCGTCTTCTACATAGTACTCTCGAGCACGGCATCCCTCCTCTGTACAGCTTTCGTCTCTTCGGTACCGCCGGTACTCGACATGTGAGGACATTCTGGGCGACTTTTTCAAACAGCTCGTGCAAAGTAGATATGACAGCTTCTAAAGGGGGAATAGAAAAAGAAAAAGATAAAGAAAAAACACGTTCTCGATTCATGCTACCGACATTGCTCGAATATATGCCGGCTAACCCGATCGGGAGTGCGGATAGCCATATCACGTGTTAGTGGGGCTTCCCTAGCGAGCCGCACAAACGAGTTGGAATATGGTATCTGCGAATTCCTCGTCCTTGACCTTGCGACAAAGCACGACGACGACGACAACCGCAGCCAGTACGTGCAGCTCACCACCTCAGATCTCCCCCTCTTGCCCAAGTATTTGCTAACCTTGATCCTTCTTGCAGTGCAGATCTTCGTCAAAACCCGTAATTCTCCCCCACTGCGCAATCCTTTCCTATGCCCGCCTCGTCGAATTTGCGAAACTAATATATGTGCAGTTACGGGCAAGACCATCACCCTTGAGGTCGAGTCTTCCGATACCATCGACAATGTCAAGTCGAAGATCCAGGACAAGGAAGGAATCCCCCCCGACCAGCAACGTTTGATCTTCGCCGGAAAGCAACTCGAGGATGGCCGCACTCTTTCCGACTACAACATCCAAAAGGTACGCACCTATCGAGTTTTAAATCGCAGGGGCATCTGGGTCCTTGCATTCAGCAGTGAACCGGAATTCAGTGCGGGAGGAAGATCAAAATCCAGAGGGGATGATGGCTGACAAGGAGTGCTTTGCAGGAGTCCACCCTTCATCTCGTCCTCCGTCTCCGTGGTGGTATCATTGAGCCATCTCTCAAGGCCCTTGCTTCCAAGTTCAACTGCGACAAGATGATTTGCCGAAAGTGCTACGTAGGTCCATCTACAACTTCTCCGTCCCTCCCACGAGACTAACTCCTACAGGCCCGCCTCCCTCCCCGTGCCACCAACTGCAGAAAGAAGAAGTGTGGCCACACCAACCAACTCCGCCCGAAGAAGAAGCTGAAGTAAACGACTCATTCATTTGGCGTTTGGTGGTTCTGGAGAGGATGCGAGATGGTCAAGGGTCTTTTCGCTGCTTGCTTGTATGATCATCGCATTTAAATGAGCATGCAATACGAAGGAACATGACCAGGGCAAGCTTGGAAACACTATTAAGTGAATGAGTTTGGCCATTTTTCGGGATACAACGAGTTGAGCTACTCCAGCGTTAGAAGAGGTGGTTTGGAAGTCCATTCCAATGAGCCTCCAGCCAAATCAAGGACCAATACGCAATGGGTCAGAAGCCACAAGCAACGCGTAATCTATGTGCCGAACAAGATCCAAGCCCCGGGCTTTCCACTAGGTAGATTGGTGTTTGAAAGTTCCACGATTCATTTCTCGAATGCTGTGTCTTCGACCTCTCGGTCGCGAGGCTGGCATACGGCTACCTCCAGCTAACACAGCATTTTCCACCTCTTCATCGGCGTGATAATTTCTTAACGACTAAGCAGTAGAGACTCGTACCTCCTGTATCTATTTTGCAATGTGAGAGAGCTCTGAGCTCAATGGCGGGGTTGATTAGTACCTGTGGCAGATGGCAGGGATGAATTATAGCAGGGGCTAGTGCATGCTTCGCTCGACAAATGCCAGCCAGGCACTTTCTGGACTTCAGTGTCACGACATTTCAGTAATTCTCTACTTCGTACAACCACAACATAACCACAACACGGGAAGACGCGAGACACCATCTCATTCCATTCTCCCAACGCGGGCCTCCTGAAGCTATGTCGACCGGATATGATGTGGTTGTCGATGTAGACGAAGAGGGAGATGTGAGCTTGCCCTTGGTTCCTGGATAGCGACGCTTTAAACTAATTGCAGTCCAGCTCGGGCACACTGATCTCCAAGAAGATCTCGAGTTCCACTCCTCGAACTTCAATACCGATACATCTACGAGCTCGAGAAAGCTACCTGGCGCCTCTCCCGGACTCCCTGCGCCTGTAACAGCGTCGGGAAGTGGCTCCTCCAAACGATTCCTATGGACACTTTCCTTTTACGCGCAGTTCTTCGACGTCGATACGAGCTCAGTCCTTGCAAGGTGTTGGGCAGCGCTATATCCACGGGCCAACTTCCTTGATGTATTGGAAGGCAACCCTGATCTGTATGGACCGGTTTGGATCGCGACCACGGTTGTCTTCATCCTCTTCTTGGGGGGTACCATCAGCAAATATCTGGCGGAGACGGGAAGCGAGCACTTCGTCTACGACTTCAGATTATTGAGTGGTACGTAGCTCCAGACGTCATATATTGGAGACAACTAATAGGGCCTCAGGTGCTGCTGGACTGATCTATGGATACACCCTTATCATTCCAATCGCCCTCTTCCTAGCTCTGAAGTACTTTGGCAGCGAGTCTGCCAACCTTCTAGAGTGCTGGGCTCTATACGGCTATTCGAATCTTATTTGGATACCCGTTGCCTTAGTCTCGTGGTCTCCCATCACCATACTCAACTTAGTATTTGTCGCCGTTGGATTTGGCCTCAGTGTAGCATTCCTCTTGAGAAATCTATACCCTGTTCTCAGTGCTACTGACAAGCAGACTAGCAAGGCTTTGTTGATCTTGGTGGTCTGCCTTCACGCCGGCTTGGCCATTGCCATCAAGGTTCTGTTCTTTGCACATGGGAGCCCAGCTGCTGAGACTCCGACTCCCAAGGAGCCGGCGCCAAGTGCAGGTGCTGGAGATGGAGTAACGAAGCTTTCTGTGTTTTGATAGATTTAGGTGTGATAACAATGTATGATAGATTCATGAGCACTACTCGAATGTCCTCCTACGATCAACCTCTCCCACGAGCTACCTTCTCTCCTCGCCACAATTTGTGCTCTGACATGGACCAGAAAATGAAAAATGCAAGAACGTTCTCAGAACCATTATCTTTTTTGTAATTTCAACTCTCCCTACGCCTGTTTCCCTCCCTCCTTGACGCCCCCGTTTCTAGCCCAATCTAGCCAGCTGCCCTGGTACTCTGCAACGTTACTCCATCCAGCCTGTCTCGCAAAAGTTGCCGCAGCTCGACTCCTCACTCCTGACCGGCAGTAGAAAATAACCTCCTGGTGCTTTTCAGGCCTCCCAAACCCAAACCTATCCTCGAACTCTTCTGCCGTGATGAAAAACGAGTCGGGCTTGGAAGTTACCGGTATGTTGAGTGACCCTGGAATTGTTCCTGTGGCCTGTATTTCTCCAGGCTCGCGAGCGTCGACAAGAACACGGCTTGGGTCGGGCTTCTCGACGAAGGATTTGACCTGTTTTTTGTTGGACAGTTGGTAGGGCGAGGGGGGATTCAAGGTGGATCTCACGTACGTCTTCAAATGCGTAGATTTTGCCGGGAGGGGTTTCTTGAGAGTAATATCGGAAATAGGAGGGGTGGGCAGTGGAGGATATAGATGTAGTCCGCAGGGAGGAAGATGGTGGCGACAATCGGAACTGCCGAGATGCTCGTGAAATTGTCGACCTCCAAGGCCCCAAGAGGATGAATGTAACGGGACGTAGAGAGCTCATGTTGGCGACCTGAGCAGCGGAATGGAATCGTTGGTCTTCGCCTTTACCCTCCCATTGCAATACCCCGGATTTTATTTTATCCTTGTCGGCCGGGCGGAAGCAAAATATCGCCCTCCAAGCGCGGATCTATGGAACACAGGCCACATTATCCACCTGTCGGGTTGATACTCAATTATGTATATAGTTCAATCGTAACATATTTCCAGCTGGCTGTTACAATGAACAATGTACATAAACACACCACCTACTATACTAACGGCAATATAAGTCCTGGCGAGCGAGCTCGGCCCGGCACTTTCTCCGAGTATCAAGGACGCCTCGCCCGTTCAGCACACACGCGTATCCGGTGGAAAACCGTGTAAATACCGCAGAACGAACAAACTGCATTCCGTCTACATCAATCACATCTGTCAGTCATAAGAACCTCAGATAAGCATGTCTCGCTCTTCTTCCACGGTTCGGCCGTTGTCCCTTACCGAGGAGCTGGAGAAACTGGAGCAGTCTATCACTCTTACACTGCAAGGTTTGCTTTCGATCCCTCGCCAACCGCACTTCGAGGCTGACTGACATGGCTAGAAATTGACCACAACTTCAGTCGAGCGCACCGGATCGTAACTTCGAGTATCCTGCCGATCGTGGAGCAATATGCCGAGCATTCAAACGCAGTCTGGGAAGGTTCTAAGGTCAGTTTAGTTCTGGAATACCTCTCTGCTGCAGGCACTGATAGCGACATAGTTCTGGAAGCAGTTCTTCGAAGCCAGCGCAAATGTTTCTTTGTCCGGGGTAGAGGAGCGTGATGTAGAGGATGACGATATATCATTCACACAATCGCACGAAGGCGCCAGCATATACTCCACGTCTGCTTCCTTGCTGGAGGATGACACGGCTCAGCACCAAGGCGCAGCCCGCGATCTCTACGACCAAACCGACGATTCCCTTCTGGATAACGCTGACATCAGTGGAAGTACCCCACGAGCTCCCCCTCCCAAGAGTTCATTCTCGGATAAGCCCAAGTTCGCAGAGTATCCCTCTCCTTATGAGGATTTGAAGCAGGAGCTGAAAGGCGGGCCAAGGCATGGAAACGGGAACGATACAGAAGCAGTGCCCGCAACCCCAAGTCAACAAACCAGGCTCCCAGACATGTCAATGACTCCAATGTCATCTCCATTCGATCCTACGTCCTATCTTCAGCAAACCACCACAAAACAAAACCTCGACCCGCTATTGCATCGAGTGCTGGACAAGAATTACCGCATTCAAGCCACACCCCATACTACTCGAAAAGAGCAGAAAACGCCTTCCAAAAAGCCTTCCTGGCGGGACAATACCTCACCCATGTCGTCGCCACCAGTTGCAGCGCCGCAACTGCATGCAGAGATCTTCGAATCGCCTATCAGAAAGCTATACAGTAGACCCAACGCACCAAGAACGCCTGGTATCAGTGTCCAGACTCCGGCAAGAGGAAAAGCCAGGGATGCTCATGTTAAACCGCCAAAGAAAGACGAGATCAGCTGGGAGAGTGATAGCGATGAAGATGCGGAAGGGGTCTACAGGGAGCTTGGAATGAGTCCACCCAAAACCATTCAGTTTTCCTTGCCACAATCGAGGCTCCTTCAAACTCCTGGTATGCACGTCTCTTGGCTATGTCCAACCCCAACTAACATGTAATAGCGCGGGAAGCCAGCAAGAGGATTGTCGAGGACTTGCTCACGACTGCTGGTGCTGGACCAGATGACACATATGGCACAGATAGTCCAAGTATAGTTGCTATGAGAAATGACCTCGACGATAGTTTCTAGCGAGGTTGTCTGCATATAGTACAAACATCAAGTACATTACAATTCGACCCGATGACGTGAATCACAGCATCCCCGGTCTCCATCATTCGATATGCACCCGCTCCACTCTCCCCTCTTAACTGTGATTCGTGTCGCTTACATTCTGATACTCATACCATGTTTTTGGAGGTCTTACCGTGAGACTCGCAATCTATTGAATTCCGTCCATCCTTTCCGCGAGCAAATTCAAGCTGCAAGCTGCAAGCCTTCACCAAGATACGCAGTCCCCAGGCTTCTCTATCTGTGATTTTTCCTCTCAATAAAGCTAGTGAGAGCGAAGCAAAAACGGACAGCCGATTTTGTCTAGTACTGATTGATGGTGTACGTGCAGAGCTAACTGTATCTTCTGGGACAGCGGCTTTTATGAACCTCAAATCCTCATGCGTATTTATGTATACGTGCAGCTTGGGAACTCTCATTAGCGACCAACTAATCCGGGTAGACGTGGCTAACATTTCTTTGAGAGCACATATTGAATTTGGATTCGAGGATAAAGACTTATATGTATATCATCATGGTAGGGCTCAAGATGCTCGGAATTTTCCGAGCCGCTTCATGCCCGAGATACTTGTGTGCTTGTGTGCTTACATAGTCTCTGGGGAACTCTGAAAAGTAGCTACTAGTAGTACTGGGCACTTCGGCCTGCATATCATCGCACAGCGGGAAAGCCTGCCTAGACCCTTTCTTTCGAAGCCGAATCATTCACGTTGCAATTGAGACAAGAAATCCTCATTTATCCTTGATTGTTTGAATTGGGAGCTTGGGGCCTGGGTCACTCGGTCGGCGGAATCTGTGCCTACTACCTATGTGGCGCAGAACAGTTGGAGCATGCCCGCCCTGTAAATCCGTCCATGCGACGACGGCATTCCCCTCGTGCCCGCATCGGAGGTTCGAGAACAGAGATAGAGTACGACTCCGGGCCAGCCTTATGAAAAGGCTAGCTTATGCAAGAAGAGCTGTCGAATTGGGAGCTTGATGGACGACTTGAAGCATAATTTTCTAGGGATGTTGATAAATCATCTATGCCCCCAGTAAATCTGTATTGAAGTTTCAACAGAGTCGCAGAAGCCAGCGAGCTTGCAGACATCGATCAATTATATTCGACCTCAACTAAGTCATCATACCGCCAGGCAAATTCCCAGGATTCTGTCGAGGTCGTATGTTGATTATTCCCATCACTTGATACAAACCAAGCTTCCCACCCAACGAACGATCCTCTCTATTTAACCCTGCTTTCTACAAAAGCATGGAAACCAAAGCCTCAGCCAAGGAAACCAACGGCGTCTCTATCCCAGCACATCGATTTTCTCGTCGAAGAAGGGTTTTATCGAAGACAGCCTACAGACTAAGAAACTCGCCCCATACGAAGAGAAGGATGCAGATATCACTTCTAAGCAGAAGAATATACTTTCAGCAGATACAAAGACTCGTAAGTTACTTCTCATGCTGCAATTTGTAAACACGGACAAGCTCGAGTGCCTCGAAGCTGCTGTCTCTGACCAATGCCTAAAGGCATTTACTAGCTGTATTAAAAAATAATATTAGTAGCTATAGTCCCAAGTTATAACAAACCCCGCTTCTTAACGCCAGAAGTGACGCCCCGTCTTGGAGATGCCATTACGCATTGTAGCTTGCATGAGGTTGCTAAGGCAGATCATCTTGATTAAACACAGAAGTCTCTCTACTACCGCTCAAGGTCGTTGTGAAAAGGTCAAAGGACAATCATCCTGTCTGCTGTGAGTAAGTGAACTACGCAAGTCGAAGCGGATGTACATACCATGGGGAATATTGTAGCAAACACCTTGATCTCTTCCGATAGTGGCGTAGGGTGGTGAATCCAGTCCAGCTCCATAGATGCTTTACCAATCATCAGAGCGAGGTTGAGCTGGGCATAAATTTGACCAAGGCAGTAATGAGGTCCAGTTCCAAACACCAGGAAGTTTTTTGCACCTTTGATCTCGGCATCCCCAGTCACGTACCTATCGGGATCGTAGACATCTGGGTTTTCGTAGATCTCAGGGTCGCGTAGCGATGGGTACGTGGTTGGGATGATCATAGCGCCTATGAATAAAAATAAGCTTCTGACCATAAGCCTAAGGGACTTGGACTTCACCGAACCTTTGGGAACCGTATAGGTATCAGTAATCGGGAAAGCTTTCTTGGCGAGATAAGGAACCATCAATACAGGGGGACGGTATCTAAGCAGCTCCTTCACAGCGCCCCGAGTGTAAACCATCTCATCCAGCATGTCCATTGTCGCACGCTTGCTCTTGTCTCCATCTCGAAGTCGAAGGTTCTCCTCGCGAATTTTGTCTAGAACATCGGGTCGCTGAGCCATAATTTGAAACAACCACGTTGCAGCACTGCTGGTAGCATCTTGCGACGCAAACAGAAATGTAAACACGGTTTGTGAAATCTCGTAGTCCGTGAAATCACGTAGCAGGGGGGAGGGCTTAGCGATGCCTTCCATTGGAAGACCTTTCTCCAAACGTTGGCGGTAGTTTGCAGAATCGAGCTGAGACTTCACCCATCCATCCATAATACATGTGATGTCGCCTCCTGCAGCCATCCGCACCTTACTCTTCGCGGCGCACTTTGCAAACTCGTCAAGAACCATGTCGGCGGCTTTCTTTCCGTACCACGTCTTGGTAAAGGGGACAATTATTGGAAAGTTAACAAGTTCTAGCGCGGCAGTGATGTTGTAGTAGTCGTCGGCAATCTTCTTGATAGCTTCGTCCGAGATGTAATGGCCTACGAAAGTCCGGCAAGATACAGCACACATAACTTCACGGAACTCTGGCATGTATGGGACTGGCTTTCCTCCAGCATCCTCGGTGACCTTCAGAAACCTCTTGAAGTAAACATTGTAGACTTCGTCCTGGCCGGGGAGGTAAGTCTCAAGAGCCTTTCGGGTGAAGAGTCCATTGAGACCTTTGCGGAAATCAACGTGTGCTTTGCCGTCCAAGAATACCCAGTTTGTTTCTCCGAGAAGCTTGGTGGCCACGTCCACTACACATGGCTTGACGTATCCCGGAGAGTTGAAGACCTTGCGTGACATATCCCGGGTTGAGGCAATGACAACGAATCTTGGAAACGGGTCAGCATTCCATCTGATCAATTGCATGGCACGGCACGGTATAGCGGAGCCTACTTGTGAAAAACCGAAACGCAGCTCAGCTCGCCACTGGCCCATTTCGCCTTATACTCTCCGAACTTTGGATTCATGGACTCGAGAAAAGGGCCAATGAAGGGAGTTTTGAAGGCGGGTCCGACAATCGATCCCTTCTGCCATAGATAGCTATCTATTCCAGGGGGAAGGAGAGTCAGTAGGCAGGCAGAAGAGAGTATAGCAAATAGGTAGACAGATAGGACAGAGAAGGACGCACACTGATCGTATATGACCATCACGGCGAGCAGAATTAGTGCAATCGTCCAGCTACTGCTGCTCAATTCGGAGAAGGTTTTGAGGATGCCATCGAATGGACCAGCGCCAATAGTTTGCGCGAACTTCGTATCTGCTAGAGGCGAGGCAAAGGTGGCATTGTCCGCCATGGCGCAGGAGTTGTTGATTTGAATTATTGTTGGTGGTGCGGCTCTTGTGATTCCAGAGTTGCAATGCGACTGTGACTCTAATTGCAACTGCAACTGCAACTGCAACTGCGATTGCGATTGCGATGCGATTGATCAAAAGGATGGGTAGATTAAGTAATCCTGCGCGACGTCAGGAACGACGTCAGGAGAAGGGGAAACGACGGTATGACCGTGGCCGTGGCCGTGGCGAGGGCGCAGCGGAAAGAAAAGGCAAGGTGAAGCGGATAATAAGCGTCGGGACGCGTTCAAGGCGAAGAAAAGGTGAGCGGAAGAAATTAATGGAATGCAGGGTCAGAAGGGTCACGTGTGATCGGGGCACGGCAGGGAAGGGCCAGATCGGCGGGATTAAAGAGGAGATCGGCTGTCGGGATCGCTGGGCCGCCCGCCTTATCAAGGATATACCTTTAACGTTAATTCAAGGTTTGATACGACGATATATACTTTGGATATATTCTTATGTAATAATAGTCAGTGCGCTGACTTTTTGCTTGCGGGCTCTCGGTAACAGTCAGGATAAGCAAGTATTTCAGGTTAAGCAAGTGTCTTATATTAAATAATATATTAAGTAAGTTGACGTAAATGGCAAGCAGCTTACGTAATATCAAAGCGAGCTTAAGATTGCACCTACCGGTATCATAGTATATACGTGCAACTAATAGTTTATAGAATTTCAAAAGGCCTATTTATTTAAATAATTCAAAGCTCGAAATGATGATATGTTTTTATTCTTTAATTATTAATACCTTTTAGCTTTACGATTAAAACGTAAATTTTATATATTTTTGAATATAAATCTTTAATAACGTGATTTAATTTAATACTAAAATAAAGAGATGAATGTAATACCTTAAAGGCAGATAGGGGGTTATTTAAACCGTCAGCTGACAATCCGATGACGGTCTCTTTAAAAGACGATTTCAAGAGGTTAGCATAGCTAGTGGATCACCTTAGGCCGATACTTAAAATTGAGTAGAATCTGAAAACAAACGATTTAGATTATTTAAATCGTAGCTAAAATAAAACTATTTTAATCGATTAAATCTTTTTTTATAAAAGCTCGTCTTTTCGTTAAAAGATTATTACTAAAATAATATTGTTTTGATCGATTGAATAGTTGATGTGCAAAAGCAGACCTGCAATGCACATTGCAGTAACCAGTCTTATAACCCTATATTCCCGCACGACACACCCCCCAAAGCTGGCCGGTTAACGCCTATCGTACCGACTGCTCTGTAAACCACGTGGCGGTTAATAGCTTCTCTATCACTTATCGAAATGGATTTTTGGTTAGCGATTTTATTTGCGCAAATGCGACATCGCAGCCTGACTACTTGTTAAGTCACTATGTCTTATCGATAAAGAAGGTGGATGCCCCGCAGCTAACGATAGCGGGGTAGCATCGGGTTTTCGGCTAAGAAAACTATATTCTGCGCTCAGCATAGCTTAATGATAGCTAGCGATCGATTGACCAACTAAGCTATCGGAGCGAATGTGGCTCTTAACTGATGTGCAAAAGCAGACCTGCAATGCATATTGCAGTAACCAGTCTTATAAGCCTATATTCCCGCACGACAATAGTCGTTTATAAAAGTCGGTCTTTTTATGAAAAGACCGTTTTAAGACCGTCTTGTGGCCGTTTTGTAGCCGTCCTAAGGCCGTCCCCGAACTTGAAACCGTCCTTGAAAACGTAAATTAGTAAGCAAATAATATTTATTTTCTTTTAATTGCACAGCAGTCTACCCTCCCCCTCTTAGCAAGCGATACAAGGCATAACATGCGCGGCTGAACTTTTGCTCAATCGATCGATTCCGATTATAAAAAACAAGGTCTTGCCTCTGGCTGCCCTCCGCAAGCTCCGGGGCCAGAGGAGACCTTGCTTCGCCCGGTCGTGGTGCGAGGCTGCCTTCCGCATTAGCGCTACATCGATTTTCTATAAGAAATACGCTTTAAAAAGATGTAAAGAAAATGTGACGCTTCAGCCCGGCCGCAAGCTAAAACTTACGGCCCTTCGCAAGCTCCGGGGTAAGTTTTCCGGACTTCGCGGTATAATATTCGTAACTATATAATTTATAATAATAGCTTCTTATAACGCATCAGCTGTCTGTCGAATATTTTATCTATAGCAATAGCTTTTTTCATATAGAATAGCCTTTTTCTTATAGAATAGCCCTTTTCCTATCGAATAGCTTTTTTCCGCGCGGTGCAGCCAGCTACTTTTCGAGCATTCAATTTATTCAATTTACAGCAATAACTTTTTTCAGCTCGGCGCAGCTAGCTATTTTTCGAGCATGCAATTTATAGCGATATTGGTAGCTATTTTTCGCGCATTAAATTTAATAGATTTCAATCGCAAAAGCGCAAACTCGTTATATTCGCAAGATTCCCATTTTCTTTATTAGTAAGTGATTAGTCAAGTTTTTGATATTCCTCGATGGCCCAAGCTTAAATAGATGCACCCAATCAACGTTACGGGCGTAAGTCAGGTGACCGCATTTTTAACAGTTTACGGTCTTAGCCAGGATCCACATTTAGCTCAACATTATATTAGATTTAAAGCGTTGATATACAAGCCGTGGGAGCGATACCGAGAAATATCTTGGCGTCGAACTTCTTAAATTATTATTAAAAGAATTTTATTTAAAAGATAATTTTTATCTATAACTATATCTTCTTTAAAATGGTCATCGAACTATTTCAATTTTTTAAAACGAGCTTATTAATAAATCTGTTTTAAAAATATAGACGGGGACGGTCATAGGACGGCTACAAAACGGTCTCTTTTAATGGGACGGTCTTCTTGGCAAACTATTATTGAAAAGAGCTTAGTACTGAATTTAAGCGGTCTAATAACCGTCTTTTATAAAAGCTTTTATAAAAGAGGGTCAGAGGACCGCTCAAATGACCCCCTACCTGCCTTTAAGGTAAGAGAAGCGACGTATTATATTAATATTGATTTGCCGGTAATAAATATATAACAATACGCTAAGTCTCTTAAGCACTATTTTTACGTGCGCTAAGTCCTTTAGCTAGTTCCTTCTTTTCTGTCATGCGTAAGCTAGCTGTGAAAAGGTAGCTTTAAAGACAGGCAAAGATAGAAGTATAAGAGAGTAAAAGTATGAATTGATAGTGAACTGATTTCTGGGGCTTTAAGGAGCGCCCTCGGATCAGTATATATGTTCTACGCTATTATTAATAATAGGACCATTTAATATCTATGACTTGAATACGATACAATACGAGATTATAATACGCATTATTAGAATCTCTAACTTGTCGGATCCTTATCTTAACTACAAGTATAGCGAAGGCTTCCCGGTAGTTATACGGATATTGGGTATCCGAGTAAAGTATTCCTGTCGGGTGTAACATGGTCATCCTGTAAGGTATTACTGTCACGCAACACTAGCCAACTATATAGTATCGAGGTAGAGCGTATACAGCATAGATGTATACTATAATATTTTGATCCGATAGCCAGTAGCGCGAGCTTTACCCGCACCCGTGAAATTTTCTTTTTTAGATTTTCTTACTTCTCTCGTTCATTTTTTCTTATCCGTAAATCATAGTTCACGCGTCCGTAACGCTCCTTACTTTCGTATATATAAATGTTTGTGTTTATATTCTTAAAGGAAGATGCGGGCTATAACCTTTAATGCCTTGAAAGGCTGTCGGTAAGACATAAGATAAAGGCCTTTGGTCAGATTAGATTATATTATAATGGTAATTTCCTAGAGTCAAAGGTCTTTAGCAACGATCGATTGCTTAAAATGTGACAGCCTGCCTTGTTACCTGCATCAGCTGATCACCCATCCAGGCCTAGCGCCTGTGGCCATGTATATAGACCTTCCTGAGCTCTCTTGACCTTCCTGTTTTCCTCTCCTCACTTTGTATTCTAAAGTTAGAATTCATCAGTTCGTCATATTATACAAAGTCCGTCGATTACGTCGTCGTATTATAGCTTATTATTATTACTTATTGTTACAGATTACGGCTTATAGATTATTATTAAGAACGGAGTGAGTTACTTATTAAGTACTCTACGGTCTTTTTTATTGCTTATCTGTTGAAGTAGGAAATTCCTGGCTAGCTATGCCTTACGCAAACTGGTAAAGCCAATTCCTGGTAGGCTTAAAGTAGAATAGCTTGGGGTACGTGCAGTACAGAATACTCTGCATTATAGCTTCCTTTTTCTTTAGTTCTTAATCAATTAATTCAGTTAACCTTTGCTTTACCTTTACGCTTCCATTTGCTTAAGAATATTATATTTTAATAAGTTATGCGCTTTAATTCGCAACGAAAAAAGCACGTTATATTATACACTCGCAACCCGCAACCCGCAACTCGTAACTCGCAATACGTCAAACATTATTTATTAATAAAAACACGTCACACACTACTACTAATTATTACATTTTAAAACTTTCTTTTATACCGACTTAAATTTTTTTTTTTTTTTACTTTCTACTTTTTATAATCTTTTTTACAACTTAATTACCTTTTAGCATAGCATAACTATTAAAAAGAAGTTCTAAAGCACTAGCTAATAGAAAAAGGTCGAGATATTAACTAAGTCTAATTCTAACGAATAATTCGAGATCGTCGAAACAGTTGCTTAAAATAAAAGAGTTAAGTTCTTTTTAATTAAAAACGCTTATAAGCACGGCAAAATAGTTAGAAAAAAAGCTGCTGCGAACGCCGAGATCGATATCGATAATAACTTTAATTAAAGACTCGTTATCAATTATACTTTAAAAAGCTTCTTAGCTATTGCTGCCGATGCTTTTAACTTAAACAACTTTATTTTCGACAACGTTATCTTATTAAAAGAACACCGGATAAAATCGATTAAATTTAAGCTTAACCTACTTAAAAAACTTAGCGAATTTAATAGATAGCGTATTAAAGAACTTATTATCACCAACGGTGACCTAAGATAAATTCCAGTAGTTGTAGTAGTGATG